ATTGCCTCGTGTTCTAATACGGACAAGGGCAAATTACAAATACTGTAGTTTTCAGAAATTAAATTCTGTGATTCTTTGAGTTAGGACTTAGTCACAAAACTTAGGTTGCTGCTTAAGTGTTGGTAAGCCTTGTACCTTAATATGTACTTAAATCGTCTTTTTAATATATTCCAGTATGGTTTCTTAAGGGCAGGATTCCTGTTGAGGTTTTTCTACATGCTTTTAATATACAGTTACACAACTGCACAACTTCTTATGTAAGATTTCACAATGAGCAGCTTAACTTGCCTGTTCTGCAAACACTTAAGACTCTCTGAACTATTTCTTGTATCTTCTAATGGAGCATTGAAATAAGTTTTGAATTTTTTAAGTGCTCTGTTGTTATACTTGAAGTAGATGTTTCTTACCTAATGTAAAACAGCTTCAACCCCAAATATGTTCATATTGCAGCAACTTGGACAGCATTTTGGTGTGTGTGAACTGCATGGTTAAGACATTTTATCTACTAGACTAAACCTTTCCCTTTTTCCAGTTTGTACTGGAAGTCTGATAATAAGGACTAATGTGTACAGCACAGGATTTGTTAGATTTGAACTCTGTTGTGAGTATGCCATCAAAGTACCTTGAATGATAGCAGTTTTCTTAGTGCCCTCTCATAACTTAGAAAGGCACGTTTTTTCCACTATTAGGACAGTTGATAGGTAATAAATTGTAGAATGCTTCACAGGTCATCGTGGGATATGGACCAGATACATGTATAAAGTGCAGGAACAAGGCATAGCAGAGCCAGTTAAAGCTTTGTTGAAAGCAGCATTCAGCATGGAACAAGCCTAACAGTGCCAGTCACACAGAGCAGCCATGCAGGGAAGATATAATTTTCTTGCCAAATGGAGTGTTGTCTGCAGTACGCCATATCCAACTCACGGCCCTTGAAAAACCTCATCTTCCTGAAGCTTTATTTCAGAAGTGACTTGAATGAATCCCAGAAGAATTTTATTTTTTTTTCCTTCTCTAATGATCAACAGAAACCATGATTTGATCCATTATATCATGAAATACGTTACTACATATGCCCAGAATGATTAATTGTAGTCCTTTTTGTATAATCAGCAGCTGTTGATACTGATGGGTATTTGGACTAATGCCTCTGATATTAGCACAGAAAAAGCTTTAATTTCAATTACCCTCCTTTATCTTTAAACAAGCCAGAAATTAATTGCTGTGCTTCACTTTGTTTTTTCTGCAGTACACTTAAACAAAGAGTTTTTTCTTTCAAAATTGAGACTGTATTCAATTAAATGAATTGTAATTTATTCTCACAAAAGGAAAGTGAGTAATTTACCAAAAAGAACAAACACAAAGCAGTACGAATAAGCTTTTAATAGGATTTTAGTAAATAATTCTTGAAGTTCTCATTCATTATCATCATAGGGTTATGGCACTCTTTTCAGAGTAATCCAATTTTGCTTGTAATAATATGTCTTCTCTCAATGCCTAATTCAAAAAGGACTGATTTGAAACATATTTGAATTGAAGCATCTGAGTAGCCATGTGTATTTAATAGAGAGTAAATATAACACAGCTTTGCTTAACTGGGATTTGGAGTTAGATGTTCTTTCAGAGCCCAATGTATGTGCAGAGAGCAAGTACACAATAATTTGCACTTTTGGCTTAAGTTGCTATGGATGTTCTAAGATTACAAGGAATTTTATGAACACTAGTAGAACACCCCACGGTTTTCTACTAATGGATAGCATTATTCCTATTTTGCCTGAAGGAAAATGGGGACATTTAAACTTTGAATTGCATGAAGTTTCAACATTAGTTTGTCTAAAATTCCAATTTCAATGCCCAGATGACATTGCGAGTGTTGCTATCAGGCTTGCCACCCTGAGAAGATTTTGTTTCATTGTAATTAAATCAATTAATAACTCACCACTATCCACTGTGAACCTTCAGAGAGGAGGACAGCTCTTAATGGGAGAACTGTCATAGAATCAAGATACCTCTCCAGGCTGCTTTTATCCCTGTTGTAAGAGGTTCTATCATGCGAAGTGTTTCTAAATTGATGTGGAATATATTAGCTTTTTTTAGGCCATTTCTATGTACAGCAAGCCAAGAAAAACTGGTTTTATTCCTGAATTTATTCTGTCTTGATACTCTGAAGGGAAGTGGTCATAGACCTGCCTTGCTCCTGTTACCCCAAGAGAACACTGATGGGGTAAACTAAAAGCAACAGGGCTAATCACACAGTTTGATAAATTTATACAATTGTTATTTTTAAATGGGGCTCCCATAGATGGAGTAAAACCAGATGATGGTAAGTACAAACAGATGTTGAAACGCTGCTGCAAGCAACCTCCAAGAAAACCCAACCCCCAGCCTAATCCCTGCAGTTATATTTTCCCACAATTTGGAAAGCAAGTCTCATGGACAAAGTGCCACCTATGATCTTATATTATAATTTCCAGTATGTACTGGAATACAGCTCAGGCTGTATTTATATATTTATATATTTATTATATATTTATTCAGCACAAATTTCAACCATCATGCTGATATGTCAGTTACTTGTTCACTCGTTTATCGACTGTATACAATGGATTCATTTTGCTAGTTGTATTACTTCAGGGTTTTTTCCTTTCTGTCTGTAAAAGTCGATCTTTTTATGGCGTATTGTCCTTTGTGAGGGATTATTAGCTAGATGTGCTGCAAATAAGTTACTAGTTCTTACTAGTTCTCAATGTCTATTCTGGACTTCTGGCTCTGAACTAAATATTGAAGAATATAGGTAAAGTTGTTCGCAATAATAAATCTGATACAATTAAGGCATGTATAATGCCACTGCCTCCCATGGACTAGCAAATGTGCATATGCTCATGAGCACTCCCTGCATGCCCTCTGCACCCCTACCCCCCCCCCCCCTTCCATACCAGTAGCTGGCGCTCAGGCCCTGGGGATAGCAATTCTCTACTCAGGTACTTATAGTGATGCTCACTTGTTTCACCTCAGCCACCCTAGTAATTGGTATCTGCAGCACAGGTCTTGGCACCCATGGTTCCCTCTACAGCTGTTGACAGAGACACTCATACCACCCCAGTTACCCTAGTAGCTTGGACATAGATCCTGAAACACATTGTGCCACTCTAATTGCTGGCACTTAGATTCCTACTTGCTCAAGGTGCTGGCACCATAGATGTGAGAGACATATTACTTGAGGCTGACTTCAGCTGCTGACCTGAATTTACTTCTTCCAGTAACTGGACCCACACTCCTTAGGTCCATGGCTATACCAGCTCCCTATGCTGAGACACTCGCTGCCATCATTTGCAGGTACCACCGATGTGATGGCCCTATAAGCTGAGGTCTTCTGACTTCAATGCTGGCCCCAGATTCGCTCCAGGTACTGAGCTCAGTCAGACAGGTATACTGATCTCCTGCTGTTTACATGGAACCAGCCCCTTCTCCTTCCGGACTCCCTCACCTTAAACATTTCACAATAAGATTTGCACAGCCCTGCAGGTCCCCTCAAATGTCCCAAATCCTTCTGTTCCTCTTGTTTTCCCCATAACTTATGTTACGGTTTTGAAGTCCAGGTTGCCCCTCTCCAAAGCTATGCTTCAGTTTCTTAATGGCCTATCGAGTAGTGCCTGGGGAGTTTGTCACTATTTTTGTTATCCCTTGTCTATTACTTTTGTGTCCATGTGTTTTGTTTGGCTTTCTCTGTACTCTTTAAACAGAAAAGTTCCTGATAATCAACAGAAAAGTTGATCTGATAATCCTATTGAAGCAGATGCTCTGACATGCCACATGCCCTTACAAATAAGGCAGGGGTAGCCAAATTCTGCTGAATGGCAGTGCTATTGGTTCTTCAACTAGAAATTTTCATCTTGTCTCAGTTTGAATTGAAATATCATCTGAAAAGGAAACTCTTGCTAGAAGATTTTTAATCTCTTTTCTGGGAAGTTTAGGTGAAGTGGTATATTTATGAAATATGTTTTACTATTGATTTTTCTATCAGGTTTAGTACATTCATCTCTCCATTGGAGAAGCAAATGACTTGTCAATCAGTGAGCCTTCACAGCAGTGAAACACAGAAATCCTGTTCTCTCTCTCTAAATGCTAGCTAGTTTTCTATGTAAATGGCAAAACCATTGGTACTTGTAACATTTGTTTTGAAAGGCCAAAGCCAGCAGCAGGCACCTGCCTGCTGGATCCTTTTGATCCGTCATGCACTTTGTATCAAATCTTACAAGGTGTCCTTTCAGCTGGTCTGTGGCCAGGCTTTGATATGCAGAGAGCATGGTCACAATGTGGGGCAGCTGTGTCACCAAAAAGGGAGCAGGGAAAGCGGAAGGAATGACTGTTCAGATCTTGCTGTATGGCTGTGATGGTCCGACTTCTGTAGCCGCAGTGGGACTAGTGCAAGCTTTGGAAGTGCCTGGAGGCTGGCACTGATTTGGTGGTAACAGTTCTGTCTCTGATTGCAATGAGTGTGTGGTATAAACAGAAAATAAAGCATTTAGCCTTTGGTGGGGTGCTGCTTACTGACCAGAGGGGTCAGATAGAAGTATTGTTGGGTGTGGTCTCCTTGCAGGCTATGGGTTAGACTTCAATTTGCTTTTGACCTGTAATTCTGATGCCTAATGTTCCCACTAATGTCATTGTCTTTCTGCCAGATTTATGCTGAGGACTGTAAAACATGGGGTGGGGGAGATACTTGAGAATTCGTATGGTCCAAGTATGCAATAAGATACAGCAGGATAAGAAGCACAGTTAAACACTACTGCTCAGTGTCAGCACTGTGCTTGGCATGCCAGCGTCTAGGAGAAGACCTAACAAGTGAATGCTGGGCACTTAACATTGTGTCTGATATATCAGAAAGACAAATACTGTGAAGATCCTTGTTCCCATGGAGTTACTGAAGCTGAAAGATCTACAAGTAATGCCGAGAGAGGCATGTTATTCATAGACTATTTTGTTTCTTTTGGTCTTTTCAGGTGTTCCAGGACCTTGGCACTTCTGTATTGTCGGGGGCATTCAGAGGATACAACATCTGCCTCTTTGCTTATGGACAGACAGGTTCAGGAAAAACTTACACAATGATGGGAACACCTGTGAGTTACTCCATTCATTTTACACTTAGGATTGAGGGCAGGGTGTCCTGCAGAATCATTGCTTTATTTTTAAACTGTGATTATGGTGCTTGTGTTGAGCAGAATGCTTATACATGCTTTGTTTGATACAGAAAATGAGAGGTAAGCCTTTACATTTAGGTAAATAACATAGCATCAGCTAACAACACTAGAAAATGAGGTGTAGCTTAAATATTTCTTCTAGATAGCCTTCATCTTACTGTTTATGAATCTTACTGCCTATGTCAGAGGACAAAAAACTATCCATGCTGTGTTTTCGAAACATAGCTCAATATAATACAAAGTATTCATCCTTGGAAGCTTTTGGCAGTCTGAGCTATAATGAAATTGAATTACTTTCACAAATAAAACTGGATTGAATCCTGAGAAATACTTTTGTAGCAGGCTTCATTATCTACTTGAGATATTTATTGATGGCAGAAGTTATTCTTTGGCTGTGGAAACTTCACTTCCAGTTTTGAAATGTGTTCGAATGGTGTTTGCAGAAGCTGTTACATTTTGATTCTTGTCTACCAGAAACCACTTAAAGTGCTTTTTAATCTTGGTACTCAGATTGATGGCTGAGGATCCTCAGTTGAGAATTCCCTGTGTTCTGCTGCAGCACAAGGCAGTTTAATCTCTATTCATAAATATTCTTGGCTGTTGGTGAAACATGCCCCTAAAAAAGTCACATTTTATTTAACAGCTTGTGTGAGTAGGCCACTATTTCCTACACCCATGGGATTAAATTTTAAAGATGAAATAAGGGTAAAATTTGTTCAAACCCAGAAGAGAAGAAAAATACTGTTCTGTCAGGACTTGAGCTTTCGGCAAGGTTTGGATTTTAAAAACTGCGTTTTCCCCACAGACATCAGCAATAGGATTTTGTTAAATCATGACTAGATTCTTCCTTTGTTTTGTGTGAAATCAGGCTTAACTCCATGGAAGCCTGAACAATTGTTAAAATTGGGTATCTCAGCAACCCTGACTGGCCACGTCTTGAAATTATCATTATTTCTAAGGAAATTTCCAGGTGTAGTGTTTCTAAGAGATTTCTGGCTTATAAAGTGATTTCTCGCTCCAGTGGAATGCTGCTTTGATCTGATCTCTAATAGCATGTATTCAGTATGAAACAGTGTTCAAAACAAGTGTTTGGTATAAACTGAACTTTCATCCACCATGGTCTACTTGATGAACCTGGACTTTCTCCCCTTCAAAAAAGGGAGCCTTCTAAAAGCCTTTCATGCTACTCAGCAAGCAGATTCCACCTAAGCCATAGAGCCTGTTGTAGGGTATGTTGGCACTGTGGTCACTCATGATCAATCATGTCATAAGAACAGTATATCGCACAAAAGCACACCATTACTTCAGTGTAGGCTGTATGGGCAAAGTTTAAATCACCTAGTTTGGGTACTGTTAGGCCCTATCCCATTCTCTCTGAGAGACCAGATTTATAAATCTAGAACATAAGGCTGTTGCAAGTCTGTTCTGTGATGCCATATCATAAAGAGATGAAAGTAGAATAAGGAAAAACCAAAATATTCCTGACCAGTCAAGCTAGTTACAGTGTTGGCCTGACATCATCTAGACTGCAACACCACTGACATAAGCATGTCCAAACAGCTCTTGGATTTAACCCAAACATCTAAACTTCTCATTGATGCTATATAAGCACTCTAAAATAACTTTTGCTATAAAGAACATTTGCGCTGAAGCTGCTGATATGACACAGCACATGAGTATCTGCAGTGTTTCAAGTGCAAGAAGCCTTCAGCTGAAGTAGTAGAATTGCCATGGTGTGCTGAACAACACTCCAGGGCAGTTTGTGTTGTCATTACTTCAGTGCTACGCTATGACTCTGTCCTTTTCTTACAACTTGGCTTTTATTTGAAAGTAACTCTTGCAAGAGTGATAGAAAGTATATTGTTTAATTTTCTTTCTGTTTATTATTTGAAGGCATCCATTGGGCTGACACCCCGTATATGTGAGGTACTTCTTTTTATTTCACTTGCATTTATTTAAGCAACATTATTTTTCTTAATGGGTTTAAAATTTACACAAACTTCTGGTTTGTGCAGGGCCTTTTTGCAAGGAAGGATGATTACACAGACCAGACAGCATCTTGCAGAGTAAAAGTCAGGTAAGTGTGTCGCTGTTTTGGGCAATACTATGAATGCTTTCAACAACATATTCCTGCAATCAAACAAAGTAAAGAGTAGTTTATTTTGGTTTTGTTTTCTCAGATGGTAATAATTTTGGAACAAAGGGGAGAGCACAGAGGACGGATGAGAGAGTGTTGGGTTTAGTTTTCCATCTCAGTATAGTTCTTGGGATGCTGTCTCTTCACTTTTGTATATACAGCTGAAATAGGGGTGCATCAAAAATGGACTTCCTGTTTGTTTAACTGCTAAATTTGAGTCATAATTCTACATCCCATTCTTATTCATTTTTCCCATTGATCTAATGAAACATTATGTTTGGAAATCTGGACATTTGAACTCACTAATGTTAAAAAAGTGCATTTTATGAATTTTTAAATAAATAATGAATGCCTCTTGCTTCTTGGAAATTTGCTACTCTGAGTTCTTTCTACATGCACTGAATGGGAAGGGACAGTAATAGGATAATGAAAATTGATCAATTGACTTTATCATGAAAGATTCAGGTAGTTACATTGTCTACATATACACTTATTTTTCCCCCCATTGTGTGCATTTCACATTTTTTTTTTTTGCTTTTCAGTTTTCTTGAAATCTATAATGAGCGTGTCCGGGATTTGTTGAAACAATCAGACCAAAAGAAACCTTACACACTTAGAGTCCGAGAGCACCCTGAAACAGGACCATATGTACAAGGTAAAAGCAGGCTTCACAACTAGCATCAGAATTTCAAGTAAATGTTGATCAGGTCTGTATGTATATTTGCGTATGTTCCTGGTGTGATTCTGGATTGCTTCTACTCTTCTACTAGTGCAAAATGACACAGAGTAGTTTTACAGTGGAGACTACTAGGAAGAGCCTTTTCCAAGCTGATGGAAGTTTCAAAAATTACTGAGTTTGTTTAGAAAGCAAATGCATATATTTCCATTTCCAGGCACCTTCTATCTAGTGAGCGGAATTCCCAAGTTGCCTCTGCTATCAGATTTTGCTGCTGCTTAGCTGGCTAGTAAATGGGTAGTAACACCTGGGGGTATGCATTTTGTATGCAAACTTCTATCAGTCCTGTCACATTAGTTCAAATGCTGATTTGTTTGGGCTTTTAAATAGAGTTCTTGTCTCTGCATGTTTTGTAAATTCCTTTTGTTCTCTCTGGTTCACTTTTTTTCCCTCTCTTTTTCTTTATCATGGTATTATCCATCAGATTGTTGTCCTCACTTCAGAGATTAAGGCAAGATATGACAACAGATAGAGTTATTTGACTGTGTGATTGGAGCCTGGAATTTCCAGCTCTCATTCCCTGGGCACCAGCAGTATTGGTCATAGTATGTCTAACAACAGACAGTTGTTTCCAATTCCTCATCTCAAAATTTGAAATAAACACTTGGGAAGCATTGCACTTGCATGGTCCTATACACAAGGGACTATCTGGCATTCTGGTTATTTCAGCTGTGCTTTCCCAGCCCATCAGCATCCTGTTTAAGGAGAGTTGGAAAATAGATGAATTGATGGTCTCATTAGTATGGCAAACTTATCATTCTTTGAAAAGCAGATTTGTAGACATTTGGCTTTTATTGAGGTCTTTCCAAGATTCTTTCTACCTGCTTGTTATCGGACAACTTCATTGTTGGTGGAGTACAGATACTAATTATTTTCCTTTAGCAGCTGCTCATTCACCACACAAGAAAAGGTCTTTAAACTGCTTCCTTCCTTGGCAATTTCCATCCCTTTTCTCAGGCCTTGTATCTCCAGTGATTCCTTGGCTGCGTGTAACTGAGTTTCCCTGCTTTAAAAGAAAATGAAGTTATAGCATCTACCAATGGGCTGGCTTGCCTTTTGTCACTATTTTGTCTTCATCTGGAGCCTTCCAGGCCAAATCCGTCACTGCTTTTACAGTCCTGGTTTTTCATTTGTTTTTTTTTTTGTTGTGTTTGTGGGTTTTGTTTGGTTGTGGTTTGTTTTTGGGGTTTTGGGGATTTTTTTGATTTAATTTTTACCCCTTTTGAATAAAGATTTTGGGCACAACTAAAATTTAAGAGGAACAATTTTATGCTACAGACCTGAAATATCCCACAGAATTTCCCAGTTGATTAGATTTTGTAAAATAAAGGGGAAAAGATAATGGAAAAAGATGAATCTAGATAATATTTGCCTGCTTTGGCCATGTTTGCAAATCCAGCATGAATACTTTATTTTAGAAGATTCTCTCCCTCTGCATCTTATGACAGCCTCCAAAAATAATTATGCTAATGCCTGTAAGAAAATCTTTAATTTTAATGATAAATGTGCATTTTTAGAAAAATTGATCACATGCATGGAAAATGAAGTAATTTCTCTGCTGAAGGTATCAGAGGGTATAATTAGATGCTGTTAGTCAATTAGATGCTTAGGCCAACAGTTAGATGGCCTAGGGTTTTTCTTTTTTTAGATATGTGTATAGAAGTATATATTGAAAAATAAACATGCTTATGTACAGTTTGTTCAATTAAGAACTTTAACAGTTTGCTTTCCTTGAGGCAACCCTGATGCCTTTTGAGGGGAGGGACTAATAAAGAAGATGTGATTACGTGGCTCTTTTTGTAGCTGCGCTCTTAGCTCACATCAAAAGTAAGCAGCAATGAGCAGGTCCAGAGGTCTTTTGAATGCAGGTGAGGAGTACAGTCAGCTGTATATTATTAACGTCAGATTCCAGAAAATGAAGTGTTTCACAGCACTGGTACAAAATGCCCTTCTCAATTGCAGTAATATTTTGCTGCAATCAACAACTACTGACCTCTGTAATGAGGGCTATCTACGTGCTGAAGACGTCTTTGGCAGTGTTATATGTAGTCTCTCTGCAGCATCAGAGAGAGTATGTGCAAGTATATTGTTTCCAATAGCTAGATGGCTGAGATCAGAATTGTCAGCAAGCTTACTAGAAGGGGAGCTCATTTTGTATTTTGGTTTTATTCTCCTTCCAGGCAGTTTGCTGTATGGAAGAAATAAAAATGGTGAACATGAGCAAAGCTCAGGAATTTCCCATTATTTCCCATAAATCCAGCATGATAAGGGCTAGCATCTGTATTTGCATCATACTTCTTGCAAGCCGTTAGTGATTTTAAGGTTTGCTGATTTTGGTCAGGAGCTTCCCAGTGTACCGTTAGTTTTAGTTACGTGTTTGTTATCAGTGATGTCCAGAGTACAGTTAGCCCTGGGTGAAGAACAGACAAAGAGGAAAATGGGAAGACTTAACCCCTTTCAGGATACTTAGATGGCTCTGGCAATGCATTTTCTGTTTGCAAGCCCAGTCAGGAAGTCCCAGCTCAAGTATTTTGAATAGTTTCCAGCCCATCATTTTTCCACGTAAAGGCTGTGAAATTGTAGCCTTTAAAATGCTGAAAGTGTTTCAGTGCTTTGGGTTGGAATCATTTCAAACTTCTCCCTCACAGATGGTTGCACTGTTAAGGAGTCGGCCTCTCTTAAACCAGGAAATGATGCAATCTATTTTGTTACTCTGAGACAGATTTCTGGGGAGATCCTTTCTCACTCCAAGGCAGATTTCTAGATGAGCAAGTGTTTTTGATCTTTCTGCAGGACTTTAAAGTCACCTTCCTTTTTCTAGCAGTCAGCAGAACACTTTGACATTTCTTTTCAGAAACACAATTATTTCACTTGCCTTGTTGAAAAACTAAATGTTTCGCTAGATTCACTATTCCAGTAGTTATGGAAATGTAGGTAGGTAAGAATTTCTTCCATGCCTTCATTTTATAGCTGGATTTTTATTCAGTTAAATGAAACCCTGAAAAAGGTTCTGGGAAAACAATATATGATAGTTTCCATATCCTGAACTTTGAAGATCCCAGTGCTGTTGGAAAAATAATGGGCCTCTTTCTCAAATGGAAAATGTGATGACTTCTGGAATGAATGTATTGTAAAGGGACACCAGAGAGCAGAAGAAATGCTTTTGTTTGAGAATCATCCTATACTGTGTGTAGTGTACACACTACAGTTAAGAGTTTTTTGAAGTGTGGGTGATCCAAAAATATTTCCCCCCTCCTCTCTGTATGTATATTGCAGACTAAAATAAATTCCCATCTTTGGCTTAGATTTTGCTTTCATTTCATTCCATTGTTCAGCCTGAGGAAGAGAAGCTGCGTGGAGACCTCATAGCAGCTTTCCAGTGTCTGACAGGGGCCTACAAGGATGCTGGGGAGGGACTCTTCATCAGGGACTGTAGCAATAACACAAGGGGTAATGGGTTCAAACTTAAACAGGAGAACTTTAGATTGGATATAAGGAAGAAGTTCTTCACTGCAAGGGTGGTGAGGCACTAGAACAGGTTCACCGAGAACCTGTGGCCACCCCATCCCTGGCAGTGTTCAAGGCCAGGCTGGATGGGGCTTGGGTCAGTCTGATCTAGTGGAAGGTGCCCATGGCAGGGGGTTGGAACTAGATGATCTTAAGGTCCTTTCCAGCCCTAATTGTTCTATGATTCTATGATTTAAAGTCAAACAAAGCTGTTATGATGTAAGGATAGGCTCTAACAATGCCAGAAGTTCTTATTTCAGTATTGTTGAATTTTATATTCATTTTGACTTTCATTAATAGATAAATGATTTTATCCAAATATATCAGACTTTTTTAGTACTCTGCCTTCAACCGCTCTTTTTTGGCCTGCGATAAAACAAACCAAACCTAAATCAGTACGGGGGGAGGAAGTAGCCCTGGATTCCAGCTGTGAGGTAAAACATGATGCAGAAGAGTGGTTTATTAGGTACTTAAGACAAAGACTTGCTTCACAGCTCAGGTGGATATTTTAGGAGTCACTGCAGTACCAGTGATAACTAATCATTACCATAAAACGCAAACGAGACATATTAAACTGTATTTCTGTGAAATACAAGCCTGGTGAGGTTCATTTTGTGTGCCTGTTGGAATTTGTGTTGTGCAAGGGGCTGGCAGTGCTGCAGCAGCACACTGCCCTCCTCCGGGGCCCTGTTAGTCACAACCGCCACTCCACCACAGCAGGCTCTCAATGCAGTATTTTCTTTCATTTGTTTTCTGTGGGTGTTTTTCCCCACTTCAAAATAAAATCAAATAAAGAAATATAAAACTGGAAGCAGGAGATGTGAAAGGGCCAGATGTTTCATATCATTATTTATGTCCTCTCTAGGGAGAAAAGGGCGTGAAGACTCGTGAGTTACAGGCTGAAACCTAGTTAAGTAAATGGTAGATATTCTCAGGGGCTGGTTGCTAATTCTGTTGTGTGAGCAGAGCCATTATCCAGAGGCAGTGGCTAAAAGCTTCTTTACAGGATCTGTACCCAATTAGTAGAAGTGACATAGCTGAAAATTTCTCACGGAGTTTCAGTAATACTGTTTTTATATACCATTTTTCTGCTGACAGGTTGGAAAAAGGCCTGTACTTTGAAGGCATAAGGCATTTTTTATAGTGATGTCACTGCATCTGAAGGTTTTTATCTGCATCATTTCATCTTATTTTTAAATAAAATGCTTACTCTAGTTGAAAGACTACTTGTAGCACAGACTGGCCTCCCAGCACAGCATCCTTATGCTCCTGCTGTTGGGTAAACTGGTTGAAACTTCCTGAAAAAGAATATGCATTTAACTCTTTTTAAATCTTTGACAGGATTGACGCAACATTTAGTTACAGACTACAAGCAAGTTGTAGAACTTCTAGAAGAAGGAATAGCTAAAAGGTATTTTATAAAACAAACCAGCTCTGTCTTTACTTAACACTTCTTTCACCATGTGTTGATTTCACTGAGGTTTGTTTTCCCAGCTGTTGCCAATGCTTTTCGTGATAGGATGTCAAATATGCTGTGTGTGACGTGCACATAAGATGTTACATACCCTCATATTATCCCCAGTAAGAGCTACAAGTATTCATGAAGTTGTTTCTTCAAACCTGATCCAATGCTGACTTACCCAGAAAATTCAAACATCTGTCTGGGACAGAAAATGCATGCCAGGAAAACATTTTGCTGTAAACAGACTGAAGTTTTCCTTTTCCACTTGCACGGGACACTTTAGACTGTTTGGCTTTCAACTCACTTGTTAGTGTAACTTAGTGATTTAATACTGCTGAGAAGATAGTTTATTTGTATTTAATTTATAAAAGTATTTGGTTTGTAATTATTTGGTTTGATTTTCATGAGCATTTAAGTTCTTAGTACAGGTCATGCACATTTACTGTGAGAGAACTGTGGGAAATACTAATGAAGCCAATGTTTTTGGCTCTTGTTAGTCAAGACACTTTTTCACTTTTTCAACAGGGAGCTTTGGATATCAGTACAACTGCTGTAAAGGATCCTCCAAATCCAAATCACAGTTCCAAAATTGATACTAAGTCTTATCATAAAAGAGGTCAAGATTTTAGAATGTCAGTGATGCTGAGGAGTAAATAAAAACTAAGCTGCTTTATCAGAAAAACAGAATATACAGCAGGACTGAGTTTTGCTTCTTCTGCTTGTAGCAATCAGTAAATGCAATTCTATAGTAAGAAGAGGCTTTTTCAGACTAACACCAAAATCCCAAGTTGTCTCATTGCTAAGGAAATAGACACAGAGAAAACAAAATCAGAGGTTCAGTATTTTGTGTCGTTTTGTGATGTTGAATTTTCAAACTTCATCACTTGCATGAAACCAAGGAGTGTTGTCTTTCTCTGAGGAACATTCCAAAAACTTATTTGGAATATACAGGAAACTGCTGTTTACCTATAGTCTTTATTTTTATGAAATAGCACATTGTAAATGCAAACAAACTAATTTAAACCACCTGCAGTCTGAGGAATGATGCCAAATGAACATAACGGCTCCAAATCTGACTATGCAGGAAAGATACAGGATGAGGAGCTCTGCTTGAACATGGGTGGTGCCTTTCATGGGCGAGAGGGCAGTTCCTGTGCTAACAACAAGCAAAGTTTATTGAAGGCGTATTTTCAACCAGTTGGTTTTATCAGGCCACCTTCAGCCCTGCTCTGGCTGCCCCTGTCCATTATAAAATAAACAAATACGATTTTCCATAGGCAGTCATTATTTTTGTTGTTGCTCCCAGTGCTATTATTTTTTCTCTTGACACTTTACAAAACCTAATCTCAAATGCTTAAGAACAAAATTTCAAAATGCAGGTGGCCTGTGTTCAGCAGTAGCAGTCATTTCTCTCCCTCTTAGTAGCTGGTGCAGTGCTGTGGTTTTGACTGGGAACAGCGCTGATAACACCGATGTTTTTAGTTACTGCTCAAATGTTTGGTCTGGCCAAGGACTTTGTGAGCCTCATGCTCTGCCAGGGAGGAGGGGAAGCCAGGAGGAAGCAGAGACAGGACACCTGACCCAAACTGACCAAAGAGGTATTCCATACCACAGCACGACATGCCCAGGAGGTAACTGAGAGTTACCTGGAAGGGCTAGGGAACTGTTGGGTTGGACTAGTTATCAGTCGGTGCTCAGTCAGGGTGGGGTGAGTTATCGGTTGGCAGGTGCTGAGGTGTTGTATTCTCTTCCCTTATTTCCTTTATCACTATTATTACTGGTGATAGCAGTAGTGATTTGTGTTATACCTTAGTTACTGAACTGCTCTTATCTCAACCCATGGGAGTTACATTCTTTTGATTCGCCTCCCCATCCCTCCGGGAGCAGGGGGAGAGCAAGAAGGGGGAGAGTGAGGGAGCAACTGCATGATTTATGGCTAAGCTTAAACCACGACAGCGGGAAATACAAATTTCCCTATTTCCATAAGCATAGCCCTAGTGCTGTGTTAAGCTAAGCAACCAATGAGTCTAGATAATACTACTAGAGCACTTAAAAATATTAAAATGTACACCGCATGCCGTGATGAAATATATAAAAAAACTAACACATACATACTCCCATAAAAATGCTGACATGGGTTGTGATTAGTTGAGATATGAACTTGTCCTCTAGTTAGGAGCATTAACAGAGGTGAGAAGTGAGTACTAACACTTTCTCCTCCAAATCCTGGTGCACTTTCTGTTTATCTTTTGCTTTATAAACTTCAATGCTGTTCCTTTATATTCTCTGCCCACTGTAGAGCTGTGTTTTGTCTTCTGCCCTTCACATAATTGTTTGCCTTCCTCCTCCAACATCTGGAGACTAGTTCATGTTCTTCTGCTTCCTCAGCTTAGGCTAACATGACCATGAAGCACTAGACTGCCTGCAGTTTTTGGCAGTGCCTGCTTATGTGGCTGTGAAGGTGTAGGAAGCAGAGTGCAATAAGGAGGAGAGTCCTGAGTTTGGCCTCCTGTATCTGATGCTCAGCAGTATATACACAGCTGCAAGCTCTCTGCTGTCTAGTGCAACTGGTCACTGCGAGACTCTTGACAGTTGGGTTCAATACAAAACCATGGTTCCACAGTCCTTGTCTGCACTACTAACATTGCTGCTGTTGTTGAGGGCAAGCTTGGCAAAACTGATACTAAAGGCTGCACATGGGGACAATATGGAGAAAATGTACTGGGCCAGTATATTCAGCGGTGTTGGGTGTGAGCTGTATGATGCCATTGCTGACTGTACTTCTATGCTGTATTCTACCTTACACAACACTTTACACTTGTGCTATAAAGGTGCTTTAAGATACTTCTTCAGAGTGCTGCTGGTGGACAAAACCACCTCCAACTGACCCTTAGTTTCTGCCCTTCCAGGTCCTCTGCCAAACACTGTGATCAGATCCAAGAATACAGCCTACCGTAGTCTCCAAGTTTCACATTCCTTTGTCTTCATTTCTGCTGTTATTTTTGCTTTTCCTGTATACAGGGAAATAAACCTTTATAATTGAATGGTTTGTTCTTCTTTCTAGAATCACAGCAGCTACACATATTCACAATGCTAGCAGCAGATCCCATGCTATCTTCACCATCCACTACACTCAGGTTAGCTAAAAATAATCCAGCTTCCTTTTCTCTTTGCTCTCAAAAAGCATTGTTCAATGTGTTTTGCATTGTTTACTCCTCACTGTTTTGCACTGTTTGTAATAATCTCTATAGAAGCTGTTACTTATTTCCTTTGGATTACACTGCAGATGTGTTACACTTCCTAGGCTGCTTGATGTGCTGAGTGTTTACTGAGGTATTCTTGCTCTTTTATGCAAGCTTATAGTCAGAAGTGATGCCAAAGATTTCTGTAAAAAGAAGTGTCTGAAGTTTTAATCAGCCCTTTGAAATGGGCTGATCACAGCACCCATTCCAGGGTGCTGTGAAAATTACATGTGAATATGTTCGATGTTATATTATGTTTAGGATCCTTAATTGAAATATCACATTAGTTTAACACCAAAATGTTATATCTGTCCAGCTTTTCAGATGTGCTCATCTCTTTAGCATTTGGCATCCACTTCTCTCCCAGAGACAATGCACCCTTTCTCTGGAGGAATTATATCCTTCCCTGGCAGGGAAGTCGTTCAGTGATCCAATAGACCTTTTCTATCTCACACTTCTAACATCCTGTAATCACAGAACATTTTGGGCTATTTTTCAGTAGTTTCACAAAAGACCTTTGGAATACATTAGTGGAAAATAACTGCAAGATCTACAAGAAAGCCTTTCACAGTCGCTAGGCATTAAGGTTTTTTTTTTTTGCAAGAGGAAATCAGCATAAGAGGGTAGTTTCTCTGCTGGGTGAGAAAGCTGTTGAGTTAATGGTTTGAGCATAGTCAATGGGTCAAGGTCACAAAGAAAGGCAGTGAGACAGTCATGTACAACTCAGTTTCAAACAAATGAACACATCTATTTTATTTTCATTAATTAAGAGGAATAATCCTCCTTATTTACATTTTTGTCTTTAGGCTATATTGGAGAATAATCTCCCCTCTGAAATTGCAAGCAAGATCAATTTAGTGGACCTTGCAGGCAGGTAATTAACATACTGAAGGTCAAACAGGTAATTTTCTCTGAAGATGGTACTGCCTAAAAGATGAAATTTAATATTTTAAAACTTCATTAAACTAACAATAAGCCTGACTTTCGCATACAGTAACAAAGAATATTGAGCTGCCTCTGTCATCTGTTCTATTGTCTCTGTCTCTGTTCTTGTGCATTGGATATTTGATTTCATTGGGGTAGGGAGTTCCTGGGTCTCAAGATCCAATACTGTGCTGTTACATACATTTAAGTAATCCTATTCAACCCTGTATTCTTGTTAAGTGGATATTCTAGTAGGTCTTGGTGGAATTATCAAATCTGAGCTTGAAAAGAGAGAGAAAACGTGATGTATTCCTCACGGCTGCCTAGCATGGGCAGGATTAAATAATCATATCTCACTGCTTATGTTGTTCATGTTCCAAAGTCTGTAAGTCTCTGATCTTAGCTGTGCATTTCAGTGAGGAGCATGGGGTTATGCTGGATGTGACAGAGAACAGAAAGAAGAGTTATAGAACAGTTGGAGAACAGGACATTTTTCTTTCTCAAGAATGTAAATTGCCATGTATGTCTGACAGAGGAAGTACTACTGAGGGGATATACAGACTTCTGCACAGAGGCAGTCTAGACTTGCGGAGTTGTAAATATATGTTGGTTGTTTTTTTTTTTTAATTCAGAGCACCTGTGATTAGGTTGCCCAGTTCAGGCTTAAGTTCATGTTTTGATGGGTATTCAACAGTAGTTCATGCCAATGACCTTTGCTCATGGCTGTTTGGACTTTCTGAGCCAGAGCACAATATATATTATTCAAATCATATGGGTTTTAATTCCAAGAATTTCAATTTCTGTTTTCTTGTATGTCAGGAAAATACATAATGTTTTCATATTGATCGTATGTTAATAATTAAGCATTTTTGTTTGGTTTGACATGTCTTTTACATGTTTGTGTGCTACAGTGAAAGAGCTGATCCCAGTTACTGTAAAGATCGTATTACCGAAGGTGCCAATATTAACAAGTCATTAGTTACACTTGGAATTGTCATCTCCACTTTAGGTAAGCACAGTAGTTCTTTATATTGAAGGGTAGTGATAAAAGCCTAGGACTCCCTCACCATGTGTTGTGTCTTAATGTTTCTCTATATTTACAACAAAAAGCTGAGCAGAACAGCTGTGTGGCATCTACATAAACTGTAATAACATCTAAGAAAATTAAATAGAAAAAGAAAACTCCTTTCCTGAGCTCTGTGGTGTTTCTCCTTCAGCACAAAATTCACAGATGTTCAGCAGCTGTCAGAGCATAAACACCATAACAAGTGAAGGGGACAGCAGTCATGCAGACAGTCCTTCCACAAACAGCATCAGTGGGACAAGGCGACCGGCTTACATCCCGTACCGTGACTCCATCCTCACCTGGCTTCTGAAGGACAGTCTGGGGGGCAACTCCAAGACCATTATGATTGCCAGTGAGTATGGTTTCTATTCCCTGTTAGGATTTTGCACTACATTGCCCACTTAAAATACATCTCTAGTCCAGTGAGAAGACGGGCATATCTCTTAGGATGTGTCCTTGGTTTTCATAAATACTTCATAGAATACTCAAGGAAACAAGAAGGCATGCTGATTGTGCATGAATTTAAGCTTAAGAGACTTTCCAAGGTTATAGCTTTGGTTTAAAGCATGTTATTCAATTATAAATACAATTGTGAGAAGACATTTTCTATGGGCTTGATGAAATATCCTGAAGAATATTTTTGGGTTTGTTTTTTAAAGAAGCAAGACTAAAAAAATCCATCTTTTTCAAAACTGATGGGTTAAACTGCTTACTTTTTAAAATACTATTTCTTTTCTATTTGTTTTCTGTCTGTAGCTATCTCTCCTGCCAGCTCCAGCTACAACGAGACCATGAGTACCTTGAGATATGCTTCAAATGCCAAAAATATTGTTAACAAGCCCAGAGTGAATGAGGTGAGGCTTTGAGTTCTGCTTTTCATTCCTGTTCTGTTTTGTTCTGTGTATTATTTAAGGTTTATTTCCTGTATCTGCACTCTCAGTAAGATTCGTACTCCTTTTTCCCATGTTAATGGGAGCTAAATAGGACCCTGGATATTATAGAAAGCCCATGCTAGATCCTTGACTCCACCCCTTCAGCTAGTTGCCTTCTTCCCCTCGCTGTAAACCAACCCAAGCAAAAGCGTCACTGGCAGTTCAGAGAAAGTTGACTCTTTAACTAAAGAGTTTCTCTCAACTGTCTGCAAAAAGCTGCTCTCCAGAAACTGCCTGTGCAGAGATGCTTACACTGAAAGTAAGACAAATATCTCCGCACAAACAGGCAGGAAATGCTTTGTGTATCAATTAGAAGGGCTTTTAGTACTATGGTTGGTGACATTCTCACTTAGTCTCCTCTAGTCTGGTTCTGTCAGCTGCATGAGAGAAACAGCAGCATTTTTCTGACCTATTTTGAAGATAAATCCATAAAAGTAGTGATGTACCCAGCTATGGGTGAGGTGGTTTAGTGTGAGGTGTCCCTGTCGGTGGCATGGGGGTTGGAACTAGATGATCTTAAGGTCCTTTCCAACCCTAACTATTCTGTGATTCTATTGTTATAATGGGAACAGATATCACATTATGTCTGTGTTCAGAAAAGAGATGGAACAGAGTTTATGGGGGAAAAAAACCCTATTAAAGATGGGAAGCACCTGTCCCTAGGCAGTACATTCCAGGGGCCTGCCAGGGTGGATGGAGCAAGAAGCACTGCTTGAGTGTGCCTCTCCTCCCAGGGCTTGGAACAGCCCTGCATTGATTTCTTTAGCTAGAATTTTTTAAAGAATGATTTTTCCAACATCTGTGTCTCAATCCTGTGTTCCAGGATGCAAATGTAAAACTGATCAGAGAACTACGGGAAGAAATTGATAGGTTGAAAACTATGCTGATGAGCTTTGAACTGGTACGTAGGAACACTTCCCAGCTGGAGCTCTAATCAATCCTTCGGTAGCTACAGTCACTTACTTTGTCTTATCTGCTTACCTTACCATGTTTATTGTAACTGGAGAGAAATTAAACCGTTCTGTGTGATTTCACAATGTTTATAAGGGTAACTGCATTTCTGTCAATTCACTTTTTTCTGTCATTATATTGATAATCCTGAAGAATAAGCATTTGTGTAATGATTAGGATTTTCTTGCCTTTCATGGAGTCAGCTGGTGTTGTTGTCCAAAAATATCATGAAATAGAAGTATTTTATTTGTAGGGATACTAAAGCACCAAGACAGTACAAAATATTAAGCTTTGATATGATTTCCCTGCCAGACTTGTTACAATTCTCCTTCCCCAAAAAAGTGAAGTAATAGACCTCAGCAGTACTTTGGAGGTTTCACCTTTTCTACACATTTTGACCCCAAATGAAGTTGTAAACCCTCACAAAATAGCTGAAACTCTGTTTTCCTCCTTTGGAATAATAATAGTAATAGCACTGTTGTTTTCCATGCAATGGGAGAGAGCATGTTTTTTGGGGAGAGACTGGAACTACAGTCCAGGATTTATTTACACAGAAGTATCTCTCTATTAATGTGCTTTCACCAGTTTTTCACAGGAACTTGCATGCCATACCTAGAGAGGTGTAGGCTAGATGCTAGAAGGCAGCATCAAACATTTGTGTATTCTGTCTTTGCTTCTGCTGAATTCATGTCCTTGAAATCCTGGAGTGAAAGAACATGTCTGCCAGCTGTGGATAAGGTAATTAACATGTAGATCTTGGTGGCTGTTGTTTGTACAGAGGAATTCCAGTCCCTCTTGGAGCGATGACAGGGATGGAAATCTGACCGAGCTGGTTCTTCAGAATGAAATGAAGGTGTGTATGAGCTATTTGATGCTGTAACTCTCCTGTTTCACTGGTTTGGGGGAAAAGCATTGCTATAGTTCTGAAATCTGAAAATGTTTTTGTCCTAATTCTTTCCTGTTTGCTCTGAATATGCAGGCAACTGCCATCCTTAATGCACGTAGGGTGCTCTCTGCCAATTTGTTGTCAAAGTCTCATGTCCTTGATGTGATACTGTCCATTGCGTATCACTAAGTCTGCACAACCTACTCCTTGTTTGAAAGCAGTCTTGACATATCACAGTAAATAACTATACAGAGCTCTTGTAATATTAAAGTCCCCCAGTTTATTCAAAGAAAATTATTGTACAGTCACCAAATTACTAAGATTTGATCACTGGTGACCTGGAAAGGTTTTGGAAATCTTAATGGCAAGATTTGCATAAAGACAGGCAAAATAAGTAGTTTGCATGATCATACTTCTTTCTTACGTTCTGTGAATGAGTTTTCAATAGATTAAAACTGCTTCACTAGGTGGTAGTACAGTTTTTACCTGATTTTTTTGTTGCTACAAAAATGTACTGCAGTTATAAATATACCTGCATTGCTACTGGTGAAAGAATTTTGCATCCAGTAACTGAAAAAAAAAAAGTTGTTCCGAAGAAATTTTTGTATGAGAAAAATTAACCTGCTTAGTAAGTGAAATAGCTTTCTTTTCTATTCTTTAAGATCGAGCAATTGACCAAAGATTGGACAAGCAAGTGGACAGACATGAAAGCAATCATGGAAGAATACAGTGTGGATATCAACAAAAAAAAAGCTGGAGTAACAATAGATTCTAGTTTACCTCATCTAATGGCCATGGATGATGATATCCTCAGCACAGGAATAGTGCTATATCATCTCAGGGTGAGATACTGAGGTCATACTGAGCAAAAAATGTATTAAATATAGTTGAAAATTGTGTCTCTTACTCTGTGATCTGTCTGCTAATAAAGTATCTTAATCCAAATCTAGGTTTTGTGCTACTCAATACAATTTAGTGATAAGGGTTTGGTTTTTTTGCTATTTGAAACGGAAATCATGTTTTTCTTTATCATGCTGAAAGAGAAGCCTTGCTGATTTTTCTCATGCCAGCACAAAGAAATCATACCAGGTAATAATTAGGGACCAAGTAATAATATCTAGAGCTGATCAACCTGCAACTTGAACTACTCAAATCCTATGTTAACATTAAACGTGCTAATTTTGACAATACCTTAAGTAATTTGCAGATACTTATTAATGGAGAAACCTCATTTGAAGGGTCACCTTCTGAAGTCATTAGTGTCTGTCTGTCACACTAACATCTTTGTCCCCTTTTTCTTTGTTCCTAGATGCTGCCTTTTCTTTTCTTTGTGCTTTGCATCTTTTAGACTCTGGTGTCTATTACCTTCATCTGAACAGCAAGAAGGTAAAACGTTAGTGGTTCCTTACATATTAGGGCTTCAGCATATAACATTACTTCACATTGCACTTCTAGAGAGAAGTCGTGGCAGCAGCTTTCAGATCATGTAGAATAAACATTTTGTTATGCTTTTAGTGCCTTGGTATGCCAAGCTCTTAATTGCACTAATCAATGCTGTGCCTATGCTCAAGAAATCCCTCTTAGGTCTGTTCTTCTCTTTTTTTCCGGCTTTCATTAACAAAAATGTGTTTTCCCTGTAATTTCACTGAGCTTTTAGCTCAGTCAAAAAACTTTCTTGAAAGTTGGAGTATTCCCCAAACTGAAGGGGGAAAGCAGTCTCAGTCTTTATGGTTTTATAATGTGCCTTGGGAAGTCTACACTTAGTCAGGAAATTCTGCAGAAGAGGGGAACAATGTAAAAGCACTTCAAAAGATCTGAAGATGTACCTCAATATGTTAAGATGAAGTTGTGAGTTTGCATCATCTGAATTGTCTTTCGCTTTTTCAGGTAGAATACTCAAATTGGGAAAGAGTATAAATATTTAAGTTATTAGCTCAGTAATAGCATTTGAAAAATTGAAATCAACATGGACCTGGGTTTTGTTTTCTTCTTTAAGTTGATTTAGTTTGCTTGTATTGTATCTGTCCCCTTCTTCTCAGCTGCAGTTTTTAATTGTACTTAAACTCTTACAGAAGCACTCCACCAACTGGGATGCTATCGTGAATTTCGTGAGCCAATACTGCTGCAATGTACTTTTCTGAATTAAACTTTGTTAGCAAAGAGTTAGTTCAGTACATTGGGAAAAAAGTTTCTTTTGAAACTGCAATAAATGTTTCTTTGCTTAGTCAAGAATTTAATTGGTAAAGAAGACTTTTAGGAGTTGGTTTACTTTGTCTAAAATATATGTTGTTAACTCACTTGATCGTGTGAGGTGAGACAAAGGCAATATGGATTGTAAGTTTTCTTTAAGTTGTGGCCAAGCCAGGTGGGTATTTTGCGGTTGAGTCCACTGAACATTAAGCTGATATCTAACTTGATAATTACTCCAAAGCAGGGTCACTGGGCACAATCCAGATTTCAGTCTTGCTGGCAAGGGTGTCTAAGCAGGGCTTGTATTACAAGAGGTCTGTTAATTGGCTCAGACAGCTGAGCTCTGTGAGGAACTGAATGATAATAATTCCATTTCCCCCTAGTGCACAAAACCACTGTTATTTCCCATAATTACCTGTAACTGCATTGTCTTGCAGTAATGCACAACTCCCTTTTTCCCAGTCTTCAGGCTTCGGATTATTCGTTCTTGCTTAATCTTTAAATCAGGGCTATAATATGCTTGGCGCAGAAAGCATATTCAATTTATTCTAATTAGAGCACAAAAATCAAGTAGTTTAGTGACCATAATTAATCTTAGTATGACTGAAAGAGTTGCCACTAAAGTTGTTTTAGAGCACCGTCACTAATCAGTTTACAATAATCAAGTGCAGTGTCTCTTCAGAGCTGGGAAATGATCTTGCTTTATTTTCGTAAGGAAGAAGATAGAATTGGTAATGGAACATTCTAGACATGTGGCAAATTAAGTGATTTGGGGGGGGGTATTTTTTTCTCATAGTATTAAGTGACTCTTTTTTGATATTTGCACTGTACCTTAAGAATACTGTCTCTATTCTGTCACTGGCCCTTAATATGCTTTGAGCCTGCTTGGTTTGGAGACTTTTTTTCCTAGGCAGGAAGCAAGAACTTTTCTTTGAAGTTGTTGAATCTTCAGGTTTGGGGACTTGCCCATGTACCATACCATAATCACCAAGATAACTTTCAATAAATGTCATCTAAGTTTCAGAAAAGAGATTCTTGTTTAGTAGTTAGTTTGAAGAATTCATAATCTATGAAAGTTCCCTTAAAAAACAGGAATTCTGTTACTTTTGTATCTGAAAAGCTCAGCTAACCAAATAATTTTGCAACTTCTTTCTTCCTACATGGTTATTTATGAAAAGAATTATCTCATTTCTGCATACATAAGTCTCACTGTAAAAGTTCAAAGCATCAGAATGTGTGTTCATATTCAAAACATTTTATCAAGCACAGTCCAAAAATCATCCTCTGGGAATTACTTCACCTACTGGAGTCATAATAGGAGAATCTGACATAGCTACAGGATAAGAAGTAATAGCATCTCTATAGGGGACAGCAGGCTGAAGTATTGCAAAGCAGTAGAGAGGGTTCAGTCTGAACAATTCAGTAATTCATAGGTGATTTATTTCATGTATTTGCTAAGAAGCTCTACCAAAGCTTTTTTAATTATTACATATGATACACTTTCAGTAACCTACTTTTAAATTAGTTCTTTTCTCATTTTAGGAAGGAACAACCAAAATTGGAAGAAGTGATTCAGACCAAGATCAAGACATTGGTAAGAGAATCATATTACAAGTTATTTTATGATATGATCTGGTCAAACCAAAAGGTTTACATTTGTCATGCGTAATAGCTAGGTAATGTATTGGTTTGTCAGCTTTCTTTGTAGGAGAAGGTGAGTTCTCAGTTGGCTAAAATCTTTCAGTTATTTTTTGGTTTTGTTTAAAAGGTAAAAAAGCCAATGGTCTTGTCTGATTTGAGATCTCTTCAGAATTTTCTTCCCACTTGTGAAATGCTACAGTAGAGTTTAAAAATACCTTCATCCAGCATGGAAATCTTGTTATGATCTATCCTAAACTAGTGGCACAAGTCATCATGAGACATTAAAAATACTTTTCAACTCTACTTGGGCAGAGTATTTTAGGTATAAAATCCAAATGATTCAGAATACTTTTTATTGCATTTCATTCCTGCTCTTAACAAATTATGATAGTTGAAACTTTATACCAAAATAGGAAACTTCGGAATCTCAGCTTTGGTTAGCTCTGCTAAGTTTGGTTAAGTTTGATTATTTTCTGCCAGTAGGTTAGTAAAATATAAATAATAAATGCCATAATAGCAATAAGAAAATTCAGCACAAGAGAAGAATTTGCACATCAGCTCACAAATCAGAAAGTAGTGTATAATCTTCCAGAATCAGAAATACTGTGAAAGGTCAATCTCACTATTTTTGATCAAGTACATTTTTTCTGTGATATTGGGTAATTGGGTAGGAATCGAGACTATTTAATCTCCTTGGTCTGCACCTCTGAGGTACGAAGTGTGTAGTCATAGTGTCAAATAGCGTGTGGTACTTCATTCTGAGGAAAATAGTGCAAATCAACTCCACCAACAGGTGAGGTAAACCAAATCTATACATGATAGTTTTGCAGGGACAGTGGATTGAAAGGGATCATTGTATGATAGACAACAACTGTGGTATTGTGACACTGCGACCAGTTCAGGGGGCACACTGCACCGTGAATGGATGTGAAGTCACTGGATCATGTCGTCTGTCACAAGGTAAGGCTTGCTTTTTCTCTGAATGCTGCATTATAATCAACTTACCACTGGAGTTTAGAGACTAGGATTTATGGCACTCATCCAGATCTAAGACAGCAATCCCCTACTGCTGTCTAGCACCATATTCTTTGATCCACGGCTAGAACTTCTAGACTGGGACAAATAAATTAAGCATCCCACAGAAAGTAAAATGAAGACATAGGTGACCATATTAAGAATATTAAGACCTCTTGGTAGCAGTTGTCTGTAGCTTTCTGAAAAGCAAAGACCTGTAGTCAATGGTGCTGTTATGGAAAGCAATAGAGACTGGCTCAAAGCCAGCTGACCACTGGTGGGGTTTTCGACAATATGTAACATGGTCAAAATCCCCTTCAACTTTTTCACAGTGTTTTTAGGTGGAGGGTACTAGCCACAGAGTCACAGGCTATGGTGAATGAGCTCAGACAAAATGAATCAGGCTCCCATGCTTTCAGGTTGTTTAAAAGAAAATAGAAAATATATCCAGTTTCTGGGAACTTGCATGATCTGGATTCTTAAAAAGACAGTGTACAAACAAGTTTCCAGCAGTGGGCTGGTTATGTTTTTGATATGCAGTCATGCCAGTCTTTAAAATGAACAGGGAGTTTACTGTTATGTTGAGTTTGCAGAGATCTCCAACATAAGTTTGCTTGGATGCTGTTTACAGAATAACTCTGCTGTTCCGTAGTGGCAAATTCTGTAGTAGTCTGTATGTGCTATAATCTGTATACTGGAGTTAAGAAGCTGCTGACATCCTAGGGACCAACTGTCTGATGAATTATGTCTCTGAAGTTTTCTAATTGCTTTTTTTCACAGGAGCCCTTGTTGTCCTTGGCAAGTCTCATAAGTTTAGATTCAATCACCCGGCAGAAGCTGCCATCTTAAGACAAAGAAGATCAGTAAGTTCTAAACCTGCATTTTTCTCTCCTAATTCTTCTCTGTCTTTTCTGGTTATTTTCCCTCTTAAAAGCAAGTCTGATGCAGGTAATATTTCTTCTCATCATCGTATTCACTTGCTTCATTTCCTCCACCTAATGGTCTGTAATGACACTAAACCTTTTGTGGGAGGACAGTAGCGCTTCTTTCAGATGTGCTTAGCAAATGATGCAGATCCCTTGAATAATTTAGTGTTTCCTATTTCTAGTCGTGACTACAGAAAGTCATTGAAACAGGCAGAATGACGCAGTGAAAAGACCAATTAAGAATCTTTCTACATTTGATAATTTTCTGAATTATCTTCTACCTCTAGCATTTCACCATCCTGAATGATGTATGCTACAAGTAAAGGAAAATAAATGGGATTAAGCACTGCAGTATTGTTGACTCTAAAAGCACTTAATTGTTACATGCTTCAGAAATAGATAAAGTATTTCTGGATATGATAATCTCAGGAGCTCACTACTGCAAGATATAATTTGGTCAGCTAGCTCAATATGTTTTTGTAATTATAAACTTAGATAATTCTTAAAATGAATGGCATATGTAACTAAAAAAAGTTAACTTAATGAATTTAAGTTTTCTGGTTTAGGACATAACCATACTGCCAATCTCTATTAGCAAGAATAGACCTTTTAAAATTGACTTTCATATAGTAACATTTTACATTTTCTGCTCAACTGTCCTTTTGTACTCACTTCTGTAGTTAAGGAGCTTAACTTCCATTTATTTTGATTCTTAATTTCTTAATTAATGAAGCATGCAGTACATTAAAACAGAGCTACAAGAAGAGGTGTACTCGGTAACAAATACTTAGCAGAAGTGTAAGATTAGAAACTCACATGGGAGGTATTATGCAGCATTGCACACAGTAGTTGGCAATGGCGGTATTAATGATAACTTGGAAGTTTCTGGGCTGCTGTGATATTTTTTCTTCCTGTTCTTACATTGTGTGTTGCAGATTAATGAAACCCCACCCATTCTGAGTTGCGGAGCTTTGGACTGGCTCAACTTGGATGGGAGTTGCACACATTCTCCTCACTATGTCCTTTCTTCTCCTGACAAGTAAGTTTAAAACAAACTAACAAATAGTTTTTCATGTGGGATAAAAATGAATACGTCTGAAACCAGGGCTTGGTCCAGAAAAACTACATCATATCTAGAACAGGTCCCATCATGTTTTCAAGTGATCAAATACAAGTGCCAGTGCCATACTTCTGATCAAATGGATTGCCTTCCACCTTGGGTAGTATGTTTCTGTGTGTCCTCTTTAATGTATCTAATCTCTGCATTTGCTTTTCATTTGCTGCGGTGATACCTTTCAATACAAAATGGTTTTCTTTTCGTTTCATTACTGAGATACATTTTACCCATCACTGCTGTTGTTTTCTTTGTAAAAATTATGAAAAATTTAAAAATAGGAGTTTTTCTAATGACCTTCAGGAGTAGATGCTCTTTATATGTGTGTAAACGTCAGAGGTGAAGCTTTTGTCACGGTACTTTATTGATGGCCCTGGAAAAACCTTCAGAAATCCCAAACCATTGTGAACAGTATAGCACAGAACTGCATTTGGTATTCCCATTATTAACCTGACAAAGCAGCAGAATGCTTCTGATTTTTTCAGACCATGTTCAGAAAGTAGATTTTTTGGAGTTGATCTATTTTTTTAAGCACTTGGACAGTGATATCGCATTGTTTAACATTATTAAATTAACATAATTGAAACACATTACCTAGTGTTTCAAATGGTTACTTCAGTGAAAATGAAAAGCATTTATGGTACTGCATTCGCTTGATTTTTATCAATGTCCATGCCTCAAAAGAATAAGCTATAAACTGTATCTAACATTAGATGTGTTTCACCTTACGTAATAAAGTGGTCTTCTGTTCAGTCCTCTTGAATACCTTTTTTTGGCAAAGGTAAACTTAATTGATCCACTCAGCCTTCCTTTAGAGTAACCAGTAAGCCTGTGTTTCTGTCAAGACACGTAGTTTTCTCATGGAGGGGGTTATGACTGAGACATCTAGCTTAAGATTTATAATATGAGAATAAAATTATATGTATGGTCTCTCAAATGTCCAGCTTTCATGAAGAAAAGTCAATGTCAGGTGCGGAAAGTTGTGTTTCGGGTACTTCGCAAACAGTAATACAGGACAAAGTGGACTACAGACAGTGCTTATTTGCTCATCAATAGAAAGCTCACTTAGTGCAGGCCCTGTGTTTTTAAGAAAGAGATACTTAGAGGAAAATATAAGAACATGTCAAGCTCTGTGTGTGTGGGTGTGTCCTGTTCTCTCCCCCCTCTCACTTGATAGTTCTTGATGCTCTCCCAGCTGCTAGCAATCTGCATCTTGGAATGTTCCTCTTAAAAACTACAATAACATCTCTGTGTATAACAGGCTTCAGCGAGGTTTTCTTGCCTTCTTTTTAAATATCTTTATGATGTCATATTTTTATTTTTACAGTAAAAAATTTAGAAGCTATAAAGAAAACAAATGCTCTCCAGAACTAAGCTAAGAATATTGATGAGTCTCTAACATGCTGAGTTTTTTGACTCGTTTTGTTTTTCTCCTGTGCTACACTGATTTACTCCAGAGGAGATGCAAACTAGGCTTCAAGCTTTAATTTGATTTTTATCATCCTGAAACAAGAATCTGTACATGCAACTTGAGTTACAGGCAAGTCTCTGCAACAGTATTCTTTGTTCATACTTGAATTTCTGCAAATGGTTTGTACCTTTGTTGCATGTGTAGCCATAATTTTGAAGCCATGTCTATACAGGGGTTTATGTTGAAGCTGCCACCAATTTACAATATATAAGAACCCTAATATATATCAAATTCTATGTCAGTAGTAGGTATCTGAATACCCATTAGTATATTGAAAATTCCATGGATAAATTGGGCTCTCTTCTGGTGGGAAAAAATTGGCTTTATGGAAGAGTCCAAAAAGAAGTCCTAGCATAAACTACCGTTTATTATGCAAAGGAGCATAGCAGTCACACACAAAAAGTATTCAGAAATTGTTGGACTTTCATGGGTTTAATTACTTTTTAATCAGGAACTGATGGTACCTTGCTTTCTTCTGAATTTATTATTGTTGAACGTATGAACATATATATTATGGTAATAATTACTTGCAGTCTTATCTCCCATGCTGTCAGTATGATGACATTTTTCTCATCTGCATTTCATGGGTCAAATTATCAGTTCAACCTCTATATTTATATTGGAATATTTTGAGAAATGAGAGAGAAAACAAAATTCTACCATTGCATCCAAGTATTAAAACTTTAGGCCTGAAATGTTGCTTGAAATGGGTGTGATTTGTTGCACTCTTACTTGGCTGCTTGCTCATACACCCTACTCAGAAGAGCCCCAGCACTTCAAACTTCTGATATTTGTTGCCAGCCAGCAAACACACAGAAGGCTTGTGACTGGCATCAGTCATCATATGACAGCATTACCACAAATAAGCAGGTAACTAAATTCTTGCTCCTTTCATTGCCTTAATATGATACTGCATATAAATATAAACCCTGATTTTCTTCTCTTACTGGTTTGGAGAAAACCTAAACCACAGAAGTTTCATTAGAGTCCTGTGGTATAGCAATACACTGAATTAATTTTATGTGCTTGGAACATGTTTAAGCTCTCTTTCCTTGAAAATACCAACATTGTTAAATAGGAAAGAAAAAAGTCTTCTAAGAATGTGTGAAATTCTGCCAAACTGGAAAGAAAACAGTGTCCATAGATATGGCATCTGATGCTGGAGAACACAACACAATTATCATTCTAACGTATTATAGGTATCATGTCCAGCTAATATTTGTAAAACTAATGCTCCGAATTCCTACTAACAGCTTTCATTTGAGAATTTTGAAGTGCTCTGCAAATATAATTTAATCTTTTACATCTCTTAAAAGATTTCTTAAATATTTGATTTCACAGAGAAATTCACTCTGTTGCTTACAGCAACTTTACAATTTAGCAGCAGAATCACGTATGGTGGCTTAGCAAGGGAACTGACAGATTCTGACTGCAATCATAAGGGGAAAACTTGTGACAGATTGTAGTTCCAGCTGAACTGGCATTTAGCAAGGCAGCGGTGACCTTTACTGGAGTGTGTGGCTGTGTCTTGTCTCTGTGACTCCTTGCCAAAGAGAGGTCTGGTTTAGAAGTGTATTTGAAGTGTTGCCTTAGATAAACCATTGCCTGACTGTTATTTTGGGGGCTTAGGCAAAGGAAAAGAGGTGTTGCATGTGAAGGCTAAAAACCCAAAACCCCCATATTAAAAACTGCGCAGGTGTGCTTTTTGTGTAAGCAAACCAGCTAATCAGAAAGGCAAATTATACTTAACCTGATGGTAACTTCGTGAAGGGGATTACTCTGTGTGTACATTTCCGAAGGTCCCTTATTTCTGAAGCTTTCTGACTGCTGGCTGTGGGAACTGATTTCTGGTTCCCACCTCCTGCCTGACACCCCCCAGGTTTTGCTTTGAATTGTGTGAGTTGCCTTGCTTCAGGAAGCTGGGGGAGGTGATAATCAAGGTCTTCATATCTCCTTTATCATTCTTCCCTTTGCTTTAGGAAGGAGGAGGGAGAGGTTTCAGCCTCTGTGCTAGGCAGAAGCAGATGTACAATCTCGTGTAGCTGCGTGTGATGCTCTGAGGCCCTGTGGGACGGGCTCGGATTGGACACGGGTGGAGGGGGGAGGATGGTGCAGGTGTAGATGTGTATCAGTGGATAGCCTTGCAACCCTGCCTTGGGATTGCTCTCAGTGCTGGGATTTGCAAGGGTGCAAAATGCTTTGCCAACATCTTTTTTTCTGCTTTGTTATTAACTCTTTTTGCCCTGGAAAAAATCATTTGTAAAAGAAAAATGGGACTTGAATACTAGGCAAAGAGAAGGATAGGGATGCTGACTTGACTGGTACTTTCTTTGGGAAAATTGACAAATTACAGCTTTTGCCAACAGAGGTTATTTTCACTTGAGTGAATTTGAGCCTTAAGACTTTGTTGCAGAAGGCATTCAGCTTCACCACAGAGCTATTGCTGCCATAGTTACTGAAAACTGCATTATGCTGTAGCAGCCGCCAGCCTCTGCATCAGCAGAAGTGTTTGGGGAAGAGGGGAGGAGAATTGCACAATAGAATTCCGGAGAGCTGACAACACCACAGGCTGGAAAAAAACGTGGATTTACAGATGGCTCATTTAGCGTGCATCATGCAAACTTTGTGGAGAAAAAGATGAGACGGAAAAGCAACCCAGCAGCACTGGTATAATATGAGAATTTTCTTAGTAATTTGTGGTTATGTTTAGTTGAAGGTTTGTATGTTTCTCTTGCTGTAATTTTGCTTGCTGTTTTTAAATGTTTACTCGGAGGAGGGGTAACTGTTCACATTTTTTGCTGCATTCAGTACACCTAGAAATCTGCATGCTTTTATGAAATTCTATGAAGTGTTGGTTTTGGTTTGTTTTGGTTTAATATGCTGTATGCAGAGTATGCCGGTCCCATGAAACCAAGACTTTATGTATGTCTCGATACCTACAGAAACGAAGCTGTTTGACTTATGTTTGTCCTGAGGTTGTATTATTTCCTGCTAGAACTGGACTGAATGTAGATTGCTTATGTCGGAAGGCAGGAATACAAGCAATAGCAGAAATTAGTCTGTGCTTGATTCCTCTGTCTCATAGTGTTCCTATATTTCAAGTCTAAATTTAACAGTATATCTGATTTAAAGTGTTTTAGATTAAAGAAATGAATCATCTCATGTACCTATTACAGAATAAGGCTAAATTCTTAGGTTAACTGCACTGATATTTATGTTGAGTTTGGTCATTCAAACATGTATTCCAAAAGCTGATTGTTTGGATTGTCTATCAGGTAATTTAGCTATGAAGTGTGTGGGAATGAGTTATTTCCTTTCTGGGCCACTGTCACCCTCATTTTTGGTTTTTAGTTTGTTTTCTTGTGTTATTTCCACAAGCCAGCAAGAGTGTGTTGACATGACATAGCATGTTTGAAGGTGGAAAGAGGGTATTCCTACTTCATGTTCTTGGTTTCAGCTCTGACAGACAGAGCTGTATCTGAAAACCAAACTAGCCAGTAATTTTGCTCTCACAGTCGCTAGTCTCACGGTCAGAGGAAAAACATCTTCTGGCATACCTGTACTACGTAAGTGGCTTTGCTTGAATTTTCATTATCTTTCTGTTCTGCTTGAGAAAGCCATCTTTAAGAAGCAACTTCTTAAAAAGGTGTTTAATGTTCCATCTCTGTATTCAGATCTGCCTTTGCTGCCCTGCCTGGTTTTTGGGTTGTACTATTAAAAAAGTAGGAGATTAAGCAGAGAGGCACTGAAATAGCAGCAGAACAGCAGTTTATCTATATACCTTCAGCAACAGTATTTTATTAAAGAAACTTTAACCTTAGAGAGAGTGAATTGTACCAAACAGCTGTAACACCAGAACAAAAGCAGTTTCTGCGCTGAGTTCATTTTTTCAAGGCTTTAACTGAAGTATGGGCATGCCTCTTTACCCTGCCTTTTTGGGGTGTAGTCATAGTATGGAGCTGTGATTAATAACATCAGTTTGGACTGCATCCTATACTGCTCTGTGTGCAAACACACATGCCTTTTGGAAATGATCTTACAGTTTCATGCTTGTTCAGCAAAAGCCATTACCACACACATGAGGGAATACACTAGTGCTGCTGAGAACAGCGAACACCACACTTCCATCTGCATTGTTTGCATTGCTTATTCTCTGATACTTTATTATATGGGAGGGGTTGAGTTGGTGTCTGTATGGTTGGAAAGTATGGAAAGAGCTTGTGACCCTCTCCCAGCTATAAACAGATGCTACCTAAGCACTTCCGCAAGCATTGTGAGGTCTTTGGATTGAAATGCAACATTAAGCTGTTCCATATACTTAAATGTTTTGGATTTCAATTTGTAAACAGTTTGAACTCTGGTAGGTTGATTTTATGAAGTTGATGGCTGAGAAATGTAAGTCATGCTTAGGAAGAATATGAGACATTTTGTAAGAGGATATTTATTTTAGTAAAGAGTTGCAGAATGGGAATTCTTTGTCTTGTTTTACTATCATGCTCTGCTTTTCAGCCTTATTGGCAATGATTTACTTAATTTCCTCCATCTCATACAGAATGGTGCTAATAATGATAAATGAAAGCAATCAGCTTTTCTGGTATTTGATAACGTTAATGGATCCTCATCATTCCTTCTGGATTAATGTACTTTGCTTCTTTCTCTCATGTTTCAAACTAAGTGACTTGCCCAAGGTCATGCAATTGTCCAGTAACAAATTTAGGCTCACATTTTTCAACTTTCATACCACCGCAGCAATCAAAGCTTTCATAAGTCTGTTAGCAAAACAGGTTAAAGACTACCCCATCATCAGAGTGTGCACAGACACTTAACAATTACAGTTGCTGTTAAGGTTTATTAGTTTTAGCATATCAGCAAGAAGAGGCCGCAGCTGACAGAAAGGCTCTGTTAAGTTTAGTGTGTGGGCACCCAGAGGCAGTGCTTGCCCTGAAGACCTTGCAGCCTAAGCATGTGTGAAAGCACAGAGGTGATATAACTGCTGCAAAATCAGAGACGTTTTGTCTCTTGGATCCATACTTTAATCTCCAGTTTAAATGGCTGCTCTGTTACACTTCCCTTGGAAAATATGGAAGATAACATGGAAGGCACATTCAGGAAAAGCCTCCATTAAAGTTATCATTGAAACTATGGAAGCTTTTCCTAAACAGGATCCTCCAGGTATTATGTTGGAAAAGTGATTCTTCTTCGGTTAACTTTAGTTAGCTTTAACCTCTGAGTTTGTCCCCTAGTAGCTGGTAGCGTTACAAATACCTGAACAGCTGGAGATTTGCAATGGCCATACAAGCATTTCAGTGCTGCAGTGGAAGGTCATTTGAAACCTACTTCAGCCGAATAAGAAATGAAGCATCCCACTCCTATTTCCTGTGGATCAATTAAAGTTTATCTGAGAGGAAAAAATTACAAATCACAGAATGCTGGCATCTTTGTAGTCAAGCCAAGGACAAATGGTTCTTGGAGCTACCTATTCTTTTTAATTTGTTCTTGTGAGCCCCAAACAGACACAAACCATTTAGCAGATGACAATAGCTAAGTTTGTACTCTGACTGTTTGCACCATGCCAGGCAATTGAACAGATGTTCCTTTTCAGTTATTCTCACCAGCATTACATTTACATAAACATTCAATTGTGTTTTCCTCAGGTGAACAGAAGAGTCACAGTAATATTGTAAATTATTATTTATAATCTTAAGGTGTTAATGTAGTGAGGCTTTCCCACTGCTTCTGAAGCAAGTGAAATGTATGTTCCATGTAAAGGTGCTCCAGAAGATATGTAGACTGCAGCTGCTTATTTCATCTGTTTTGTCTGGTAATCTAGCACATAGAATCAAAGTTGTTGCTGTGGAAATGGTTGCTTTGCACACATGCTTGTGGTTCTAAATAGAGATGTCAAATTAATTCCTATGTAGCAAAGGTCAAATGCTCTCTTCATGCAGGTGACCTTGTCTTGGTAATGATTTTACAAACAATAAGATGTTTCCAAACAGAATTTCCCTTCAAAATTATGTTTTTGTTTTCTTTTGACCTTTGGGGTCTTTTTAGTGTTTTGGCACCTCTGCTCTCTTTAAAAGTATAATAAATACATCATTATAGTAAGTATATAATTTACTTCATTAATAAAACTATATGTAATTTTTCTTCAAGATTTAAAAATTTAATTTTCTGAGATTACATGTAATGTGGTGTTTAGATACAAAATAACAGGCAGAGATCATATAGCACCTTTAGAAATCAAATAACTTTAAGAATTTCAGATGACAATGTGTGGACAGGTAGAATATAGATTCCTTTCAGAGGGTTAACGTATTTTGAATATTATCATGGATTATGGTAAGAAGGGATACTGTTTTGGTTGTTACTCTGTGTGTGTACGTGTGTGTGTAAAATTCTGGCATACAGTCAGGAATCAAACGTCTTGGAGGGGATGTAAGGCTGTTTTTCACAGGTTAGTCACTTATCGCAGTTCTGCTCCAAATATAGAAGCAGTAACCTAATATAGTTGCTGCATCCAACAGAGAATGGTGTGATCAGGTTCTTTCCTTGGTACTGCCAAAGACTGTCAGTGTAATCTCAACAATGCCTGTAACCCTTTGTAGGCTGGGGATTTTTGATCTGAAAACAGAGTGTTTGTCATTTCTGTAAAGCACTTTGAAGTACTTAGATAATAAATATCCTGTAGAGTGGTTATCCCATTTTATAACATGTTAACAGCCTTCCCCCCCGCCCCCCTCAAAATTTGCTCCTTTGAAAATCTAAAGTGAAAATGAAAAGTGACAATATTTTTAAAATTCTTTTTGCTATCATCTTCCTGGTGATGGAATTTTCTGCATCACCACAAAAGCTTTCACGTTTGCTGACATTAATGACACAGGACTGTAGCTGCTGTGACATCCGTATACACAGCTACTTTGCCATCTCGAGTTTTTTTCATACTGCTCCCTTATTGAACAGAAGAATATCTTGCATGTTGTCTGTCTTTAGTAAGGTGACCTGTTTTATTACAAATGTTTCGTATTTGTTTCTGGTTTAAATTCACCGTCATTTCTTCCAACAGAGAAATAGATGCTGTGCATGAAGAATACAGGCAGAAACTGAGAGACCAGGAAGCTTTCCACAGAAAACAAATTCAACGGCAGCAGCTCTATGTGGAGGATTTACAGCAGCAGATCCTGAGAGGACAGATCAAAGCAGAGCGGGAACTAGAAAATGACCAAGCACTAATAAACCAGCAGATCCACGAAAGTGGGTACCGGCCTCTTCCTCTCTATTTTTCCCTTTTGTTACTGAATGTTTTCATCCTCTTGGTGTTTTTGTCCTATTTATGCTTTATATCATGGGTAGAACTTTATTATGGCTTATTAGTAGTTTTCTAATTGCCTTTCCCTTGAGAACAGTTATTAAGCTTTGATTAACAGGACTAAAGGGTCTCCTTTGCATTGTACCAGCAGCACTGTTTAATTAGCTCTGCAGGTCACTGCTTTGGGGCTGGCACCAGCATGCTACTCCTCTGTGGTTCCCTGTTCTGCCTCCCTGCAGCTTTGCTCTGTTCATTATCTGTAGTGCAACTCTGCCATGTAGACCAAGTCTGCTATTGTGATTTAAGTTTTTGTGATATACCTGTGCTTCATCCAATGAGTTGCTCTGGGATATTGAACTTGAGAGGACTGTGGTAGTTCCAACCATTAGGTTTCAGGGAAAACTGCTCTAACAACAAGATGATAGGAACCAAGCAGCATTTCCAAGAGAGTGATGTGCTGGTTGAGGTACTTTCTTTACATGTTTCATTGAAGATGTCACCAGTAACAATATAGACCATATGCACATTATTTAATTAATTTCTCTCAGGAAGAATAGAGCGATGGCATAAACCCATGGCTCAGACTGAATTTTCTGTGGCTGCTATGTGAGTTTTAAACAAGGAAAACAAAGAAAACATATCTGAGAAATGGGTGGGACACTGAAGTTAAGAGCTAACATCCCAGCTACAGTTAAGGGAACAAGAGGTTCACTGGCTTTTATTATTTCCAAACACCCCCAAAGTTTACAGTATTGTAAAAAATGTATGAAGATATTCTGTGTTAGAAATAGAAACTGAAGTGTGACAGATCAAGGTCAAAAATAAGGTGCGGGTTTTATTTACCCCCAAAATGATCAGTCAGTTGTATCACATTCACAGCAGCTGAATTTGTTTTAACCAAAACTGGATTTTAAAAAAGAGAGGCATGCTGTGGTTCAAACAGGAGTTATTTCTAGGAAGTACTACAGTGTTATGCAAGAATACTAAAGACAAGATCAGTGATCAGATTTTGGATGCAAATAGCTATGTCAGAAGGTTAAGCTACAGCATATTCAGAGAGGTATTTTTTAGTGTCAGTGGCTCCTGGTCCCCAGAGATGCTGCTTTGCTTTCTGGTGGATATATTCAGCAAGAATGCTTGGTGAGGTTGGACTGCCTCTTAACGAGTTTATACTCTAATTTGAGAACATTTTAAACCTTCAGATGTTTTTGACCACTGAAATTGGGTGGTTATAGTGTTCTCTAGTTTGTCTCTTGATGAATTATTTGATCCAAGTTTCCTGGTAAGCAAAGTATGCCTATTGCAAAGGCACCATTCCTGCTTGACAAAACCTGATACTGGTTCCTGGAAGAAGAAAACTGTAAAGTTTTGGAAACTTCTTACATCCAAACTTCTGCAGTCTGGTATCTTTTTATTATGCCAGCCATAATGAAGAGATTAAGAGGAAGTTGTGGTGATGCAGCAGAAATGGACTTAGGATCTGTAGACAGTACAGGGGACTTCCCCCAAATATTTTTAATTCATGGCTTTGTAGACTCGCTCTCTGCTTCCATCTAGTTCTGCTGGTTTTGATGTGTTCATGCAAAGCTTAGGCAGGCAGGTAGTCCTTGCCACACAAATACAATCAGTTGGCAGCCCACAAAAGTTCTCTACCTTTTCTGCACCCTCTGTGTCTCAGCTGCTAGCAAAGGCAAATTCGTGAGCAGAGAATAATTAGCATCTTGAGGCTTGCAGCTCTGTTCCAGGGAAACTCTTATCTGCCAAATATTCTGCTTGATAGAAACATGCTAAAGAGGACAGATCTGGGAATAAAGAGTTGAGGAAAAAAAGCGTTGTATGTGCAAGTTAAAAACGTCAGTAAGAAAAGTTAACTAAAATAATTAGTAAAATGCTTCTCTTTTATTCATAGAGTAACCACAGAGGTAGAATTCCCTCTTCTGTGTGTGTTATGTGGAGAGCTGCCAATATACACAGGACAGGAGACTCGTGGTAGGGATTACTAATGAAGTATGTTTAGTAAGGTCAGTCATCACCAAGCAAGTGATGCTGACAGCGCCTCTGCACTAATGATTTCTTATGTTAGGGAAACTTCCACAGCCTAAAATATCCCTCTTGCAGCTGAGCTATGCAGAGCTCGGGTAGTCCTTGTTCATCACGTCAGAATTAAATACCTCTCAATTCTAAACTCCTGAATATGCAATGAAAAGTTGCTTAGTCAGTAAAGGACTGCAGATTGAAGGTAAGCCCAGCCAAAAGAAATCTGCTAGTAAGACAGAAGTGATTTGAACAGATTTGGTCTTTACTAAGAACCTTGCTTGTGATTTTTACCTTGCTTTTTTCACTAAGGATATTTTATTCTTTGCTTTGTGAAGTTTTATGTGTATATTTTTCTAGCAGCATAAAAATGAACAAACTCTGCTTCTTTAAGAGAACATGTCCAAGTCATCAGACACAACCTGGTAATGGTGATCTCAATAACCCTTTCTTTTGATTGTTACAGTTCATCATAACTTAGGTTGAAGCCAGCATGCTCTAGAAAATCTCTAAGCACATCCCCTGCATGAAATAAAGTAGTCTTGCCTCCAGGGTGAACAAAAGAAAATGAGGTGACATGTAATCTTTGAAAAATTGAAATGTGTTCTACTTTTTCTTATAAACAAGGTCTTCTCCACCAGTCTCCTTAGCAGTATTGGCCAAGCCCTTCCTTATAGCTCACAGTTATTACCTGAGTCCTTATCCCAGTGGAAAGGCTTTTGATTATCAATAAAGTGCAGCAATTCTCTAATTTCTGGGGGTTTAGAGAAAAAAACCCACATTTTTCTCTTAATGATTTATCAGGGCTGTTCTACATGCATAAAAATTATCTCAAATAAGCACTCATGGCTGATTTAATTAAGAAACAAACTTGTAATGAACAATGTTTTTCCTATGATTTTAACTTTCAATCACTGTTTTGTTTACAGACCAGCAGTGGCTTATAAATGAGAATAAACGACTGGCTGCCCTTCAGCAACAGCAGAGGGAGTTTGCAGTGCAAACAGAGACTAAGCTGTATGCAGAGGCTGAGGTGCAGAGTACCATCGGGCTGGAAATCTGCCCTTCTCCGCTACAGCAGAACAAGAAGAGACTGGTGCAGCTGGAGCTCTTGCGAAGATACTCCTTAAAAAAGGCAGAAAGAAACATAAGACGAAAAAAGGTCAAATTCCAGCTGGAAAGGATAGTCAAGAAGCAGAAGTTATTGGAAGCCAAGCAAAACCTAGAGCAGCTGGAAGCTAGCTGCTGGCTCAGTGAAGAGTGTGTGAAACAATCCCAGGCCCTAAATGAAAATACTGTACAGTCCTCTTTGGATCACCAGTTGCAAAGGAGAAGGAAGTCATCGGGTTTGAGTTCCCTACCGCACAGGGAGCATTCTTTCTGTAACTCACGTCTGGCCCAGGTACCCAGGTAAGTTAACATTTGCCAACTCCCCTGCATAGTCAAAAGTAATTTAAATTCAAGGTATTTTCAGTGACCACCTATGCTCCAGGAGGCCTTTCAGTTTATTGAAACAATTAGCGTAAGGTGTCCCTGCCCATGGCAGGGGGTTGGAACTAGATGATCTTAAGGTCCTTTCCAACCCTAACTATTCTATGATTCTAAGTGTATTTCTGTGATTTAGAACCATCCTTTATTTTAATCTAGTGTTTGCAGCTTACTTGAGCCTACAGGGACTGAATACCAAGCTACACCACGTAGCATTGAGCTGTTCCTTTGTGTTGCAGAACATATCTCAGGATATCTAGAGGACTGTATTGTTACTGACAGAATTTAACCTTATTGTTTCTATTTTCTGCTAAAATTTGCTTTTGGAAGGCATTGAGTGTTGCTTCATATATCGTTACTCTTAACTACAAGACATTATTGATGTGGAAGTGTTCTCAATTACATTATTCAAGCAAGGATTCTCTTTTATTTCTTTGTTTCCACAGTTGTTTGTTGAAGAGGGAGACTGTCTCAACATTATCTACCTCACCAAATACTGATCAAAGCTGTGAAGGCAATACAACAAGGAAGTTGTCATCTGTAGAATATCTTTACAAAAGAGGTAAAGACATTTCTGGGAGCAATGACCTTAATGATGAAAAAGAGATCTCCTTTTCAGTGCAGAGGCAGCTAACTGACAAACAAAACCCATCTTCATTTGCAAATAGAAAAGGAGCAGAAGAAAACTCTAATGATAAAGCTATCATGGCTTACATAAATAAAAATTATCAAAAAGTTGAAAAGTTGGATGACAACCCAGGGCAAACTGGATCTCAAAACCAGACCTCTAAAGGCTTCTCTCCTGATCTTTTTAAGGAGAAAAATGAGCCTGAAACCTTTATTGCAGGGACAAGAATGACAAAAGCAAAGGTGCTAGGAGATTTAAGTCAGGCTGCAAGTAGCAATCTAGAACAAAACAGAGCTCAGGTATCCAATGAAAAGACTAGAATGGATATCGATGGAAAAGGCCACAGATTTTCTCCAGAAAACTTTCCTAAAGAAATGAGGAAAACAGTGTATGGAAACCCACCATCAGTGCATCTAAACCAAACAGCCAAGAACTGGAAGAGAGCACCAAACTCAGCCTTGCCAAGTCATGAGAAATCAGCAGTGGAACATCAAGAATTTTTGATGGTGGCTACATCAGTAGGAAACCTCACAAAGATGAACACACAGGCACCACTCTTTTACGCTGAGAAAAAGTGGCACAGTGCTGAGATGCTAAGTGCTGGAGCATCCAGAACAGCAACAGAGGTGCTGGGGAACTGGCAGGAGGATGATGAAAATGAGATTTCTGATACTGACAGCTCCTATTCTGTGGATTCTCTCTCCTGTGCTTATGCAAAAGCTTTCTCAGAGAAAGCAAAACAAGATTTTGACAGAAACAAATGTCTTGCCAACCCAGAAGATTCTGAGAGCGATGACAGTCAAATGTCACAAGACTCTCTGGTAGAAAAGGAAAACAAAGCCAAAAAGGAAAATACAAGTCGATTTCACAAGTTGAAGTCCCGCCATGAGCCAGCTAAGCTTTACAAAAGCAGAACTGATCACCATATTTCGTCTTTGGTGACATCATACACGTCTCGTAGGAGGCTGGGAAAGCCTGAAAGAAGCTTTTCTCTGGACAGCTTAGCTGATGGAGAAGAGATGCTAGCAGAAGATCCGGTAGAAGAATCCAAATCTGATTCATCTGATGAAGTGCCAGCAGAGATTTTCTGGAAGTTACAAACTCCCAGATCACCAGCTATACAGACTGAGGAAGGCCATGAGTCCAAAACCTGCGACACAGATACAGAAGGGACAAGTTATGACCTGAAGCTGAGCAGTTCCTTTTACTTGGCCAGTAAGCCACAGCCTGCTTCCAGTAGTGCTTGCAAGCAGTTGCTGAATGGGATAAAAGTCTCCTTTGTAGAACAAGAAAGGTCTCTTGATAGAAGACCATATTATGCAAGTGGAAATCCTTTGCTTAATGCTGATGCTTGGACTTCCTGTGACTCAAAGTTTGACATCAACAGCCCCAGAACAGCACCTTCTTCCAATGAACATTTGGAATTTCAAGAAGCTCATCTCTGCTCCTTGAGCAAACCAGAGCTTTGGCTGAAGAAAGATGATCTAAAACAGTCAGCCGCTGAAGTTTCTTTTGTTTCCGGCTCTAAGCAGATACACAGCATTACTCATTTATCACATCGTATAAATGAAATGAACACATTTTTTTCCTCTGACACATCAGAAGTACCTTTACCTGAAACAACAACTGCGAGCAAAGTTTCTGAGAGCGAATCATTAAATAAGATTCTTAAGGGATGGACAAACTCTAATGAAAATTCCTCCTTGGTATCTCAAGAGGTAATGTCCTCATTTGCTAGCTCAGTAGGACCAAGCTCCTCTTTTGTTCCTGTTTCAGCAAAGCATGATTATCGCGAACATTCAAGGTCAAATTATCCTGAACAAGAACAACTGAATGAATTATCTACTTACAGGTCTGCCACTGAATGCACACAAACATTCAGATGTTTGGAAAGTGCCTCCACTGCAGACTGCTTGCCACTGGTATCTAGGAAAGAGGGGGACTCTTTCCCCACAGCTTATCCAGAGCTGTCAAAAGATCAGAGTCCGAAAAAACCACCCTTTGTTTCTGTGTTTCCTGTGCAAATTTCAGAGCAGAGAGATGGCTGTGTCAGTGCAGATTTAGAAGATGATTTCTTCAGAACTTCTGAAAAAGATTACATCAGTGATGTTTACAGTAACTTGATGACAAAGTCAAGTGTGACAGATGCAGGTAGAAGGGCATCTGTCAGTGCACCTGCTGCTGAATCTTCTACAGGATTGGCTCACAATATGATCTCAACACAGGCATCTGCAGTAAAACAAGTCCAATTTGGAAACCATGGACAGCTTTTTCCAAGAAGGGAAGTACCAGCATGTAGTGATGAAGGTTTCTTTCTCAGTGACTTAACAAATAAGAGCTGCTCTCTCGTAAGCAGTTACAAGTCCTTGGCTGGACAAGGAGCAGAATCAGCTGTTACAGTAGATGTCCTCAGATCTGGGGAGAGTAATTTGGAAACAATGCAAGAAACAGATTATGAACAGATATCTGCAGAAGAAATAACAACAGAGACAGATTTTTCCTCACAGAAGAAAACATACCAATGTAACCCTCTAGTTGTTGCTCACAGGGCAAGTTACGACCAATCTGCAACACCAATAGAGATGGCTCAAGAAGAGATTATCTGTATGGAGACAAGCACAGATAGCTTGGCAGAGATTGCAAAAGATGTGCCTTCATTCAGAGCTGATGAAGACTGTGAACCAAAGGATGAAGACGTGTCTTCACTGAATCATGAATTTAAAAGCAAACCTGTTTCAAAACATTATTCCCATGAATGTGCTTTAGCAGACAGTCAGGCAAGTTGTTTATCCCAGCAAGTTCCAGAAAATTCTATAGTATGCATTGATAGTATACGAGAAGAAAGCGGTGAAAGCAAAGAACACAATGTCCTGAATTCTCAGGCTGCAGCTCAGAAAGAATTTTCATCCGAGTATGAAAACTTAGTGGTAAGTGAAGTAAGTTATCTTATAGTGAATGTAAATGGAAAAGACACAGAGTCTTTCCCTGCTACTGTTCGTGAGAGTATAAATGATTTTCTCCCAGAATCCAATTCAATCATGTTTTACAAAGCTTCAACAAAAGCTAATCTTTTTCAAAGTGCATCTGAGACTGAAAATTATGATAAACTATTGGAGCATGTCACCGTAGTGAAAGGAGACTGCAATGCTACATCTAATCTTACTGTGGAAGTCAGTGGCACAGAAAGTTGTTCTGAGGCGCATTCTGGCTGCCTTTGTACAACATGCTCTTCAAAATCAACAGGGCAAAAAATCAGTACACATAGGATGACTGACATTTCCATTCTCTTGGAAGCAGAAACACAGAACAAATCTTTACTCGAATCAAAAGAAGAGAAAGAAGGCTTTTTAGAAAGTGACTGCCCAGAGGGTGTCTTGCTTGTTGAAGGTGATGTAAACTCTGAGCCAGAAAGAGTATTTGAATACAGCACAAATACATCAGCTACTGTTTCTCAAGAGGAGAGTCTGTATGTAAATAAAGAACCCAAGTTTTTAAGAAACCCAGACACCAATCCAGAAGAAACTGTGGTTCCTTATCGGGATACAAAAGCAGGCTCTGATGAAGAAAGAGCAAAATTAATCAGCAGTGCAATCAATTTAGAAAAAAATGCATTGCAAACTAAATCCAGACAGATTGAAAGTTTACCTGACCTCCAAGTCCAAAGTGTAACTGAAGACAGGAGTGGAGAGGATTTTAAAGACATTGTTCTATCTCAGAATCCAAAGAAACCACTTGATACTGAAGGTTGTGAGGTTCAGCATGAGTTTTATACCAATCTGTGCCTGACACATGAAGAGGTGGAGAAAGATGACCTGCAGGTAGCCAGCACCAGGATAGAACATACTCAGGAACCAAAAGCACTCGTGCACTGTGGCAGCCACCTTGAAACAAGCAGCTTTTGCCAAAAAGAAAAAAAAGAGAAAACAGAAATAGGTATTTATTCACCAGAGTTTTCCATTGCTCCCAAACCCACTCCTTCAGCTTTGCGTTCCCATACAACAGAGACTACTCAGAATACTTCAGGTGTCCTTGATACGTGTGAGGGGCTTTTACAGAGGAACAAAACAATAGAGAATGTGTTTAATACAGAGGATGTAGGTACAACAGTACTAGTCACAAAACCTGAAACTGAAGGACAAGTAAATTCTAGCAATGTAATTGAACATTATGTACCACGCTCTTTGCCCCAGGAAGACAAGTTTAATGAATGTGAAGTGACTGGGAGTGAAGAACAAATTATCGTGACAAACACTGAGGATCTGATTATTATGAGGCAGGAAGTCCTACTCAAAGATGAAAATGCGTTATTCACTGAAGGGTCTCCAGCTCTACATCAGATGTCTTGTGACAGAGATGATAAAGAGGAAATTTTAAATCAGTTCAAGATCCCTGAAAGATACCTGACCGCTTCAGGTCTAGAACAGGATGCACTGTTAGAAGGTGATTCAAGATTCCATGATCCTACTGAAATGAGTGAAGATGGTGGCTCAGTGGACTCTGTTGCAGATACAAGAAATGCAGTCATGAAAGATATTGATGCATATGAATATTCAGTAGATGACAGTACTGGTATGGACCAAGAATTCAAAAGTCTCCACATGAAAGAGGAGAGTGATACGTATATGAGTTGCTCTATGCAGTGTCCTGAGCATGGTGCTTCAGGAAACTTGAATCAAAGATGTGATAGTTGTGAATTGGATCCAGTAGGCTCCAGAGTAATGGAGGAGAAAGTGCATTTGATGAGTCTAGTTCAAATGGCCAAAGAAAAGCAGATCTTTATAGAAAACACAGAGGAGGTAGAAGTGGTCATTTTACAAAACCTGAACAAACTATTCCCTGAAAACAAAGACGGCTGCCAAATGATATGTGATGACAGCAGATTAAGTGAAATCTTAAGAGAAAGTCAGTGGGTGTCTACCAGCTTTTCTGGAAATAATGAAGATATCAACAAGGAACAAAATCCATCAGCAACACTGACGACTACTGAGAAAAAGCAAGAAAGTTCACTTAGAGACTTCCCATGCCAGTCTGTAAATCACCTTTTATATCTTGGAGTAAGTGATGATTCCCATCTTGTTCAAGATGTTCCCACTGCACTGAAAGGACATACAAAGGCATCTAACAGCAGTGTTGGAACCGGAGTTGTTCTGCCTTACTACGAAACATTAATGGAGAGTGAGGTCTGTGTTGGTATGCCTGTTTCAGTCAACCATATTGGAGAAGACAAGTATCTTCCTGATAAAATGCCAAGCAAGAATATAGCTTTTCTGCAAAACAGGACCACACAGGGCAGGCAGGAGGAAGACTCTTTTGTATCTGGGCAAACTGTCAATAAGAATAGCTCTTCCACTCCTTACAGTGCAGGTGGTCCTGAGTCTGAAGTAGCTGTACTTCAGCCAGGGGCCAAAGGAAACCCGTTTTCCTTGGAAAAATTTGATTCATCTGAAGCTGTAATTCAGGATGTTAACATTGGTCATGAAGAACACAGGATGGATTTAATGGTTAATAAACTATCAAAAGGCTACCTTAATTCCACAGAAGATGCAACTCAAGAAGAAAAGGGTACCACTGTGCCTGATTCACTGCTTTTGGGTAATACAAACCTGCTTTCTTCTTCAGAGAAAAAAGTGATGGAAGGTATAGAAGGGGGGAAAATGCAGTCTTTACAAGAAATCTCTAAGCAAAAAATGCTTCACAACACTAATACAACTCAGAAAGTACTTGAGTTAGGGAGTTTATCACAGCATGATGAGAAGGAGAAATTTTTAAGCACAAGCTATACTACAACAAACAGTAAAAACGAAAACGCAAAGTTTCCTGGTGTAACTGGATATCAGCATGAGCCCAGAGAAAATCAGGGATTCGGGATTTCTGAAGAGTTCTGCATAGACCAACCAGGCAGCTCTGATTCTGAGAACACTTCAGCCCATTCAGAAGGCTTGAACAATTCTCTGTGGGAAAATCTACATTACAGTAAAGAGTTTCTAAGTTATAATAGGAACTCAGGCACTTCTGAATGTTCTCCTGGTCTTCTAAATCATCAAGCATCATCTGAAGATGCTCTGATTGCTAGCAGTGAAGACAAAAGTAAACACGATGCTGCTCTCGCTAAAGAAACTAAATACTTTGAAAGTGAATCCACTTATTCAAGTGTATCTGTAACTTTTCCTGATGCTTCTCAAAAAGGGGATGAAAGGAAAACTAATTCTGCAGTGGCAGAGGCCACAGACAGTCAGAATAATAAACTGCCTGAAAAAGTTGCAGGAACAGATCAAAAGGAGAAAGTAATGCAAAGTTCTTTCGAGAACTTCAGTCACGTAAAAGAAAATGAAACTCCTGAGTACACAGAGCACTACAATAACCCTTCTCATGTGACTGTACCAGAATCAGGCTCACTTACTTTTCAGGGCCGAGAACAGAGTGGCAGTGAAGAATCAAAGTCTCTTCCATCCTGCTTTGTAGAAGGTGCTCCCGCTGATCCACCTTTTCAAAGCTCCAAGAACTTCAGTGCTTTTGACACTGTGTGCTCAGTAAAAGATTATCCTCAAGCATTTACAAGTGTCAATCACCCATTCTTAACACCATTTTCTTTGGCTGCAGATATAGGCCCTGGTGAAACCGGCACATATGATACTTCACATACAAGTATATTGAAACATTCTCCATTTGCTGTTTTGCAAATACAAGACACTCAGTCTGATAAAGCTGTGGTATTTGATGAGCCGATATGTGCTTCAGGAAGTATTTTACTCTCTCTTGCAAAAGAAAACAGGCATTGTCCAGTGTCAGACACAGACTCTACTTCATATGGACATTCTGCTGTAGGTGGGGAACCTGTATATGGAAGTAATCATAAAAAAATTGACAGTGATATAAAAGTTGGTCAGCACCACTGGGGTAAAGTTCCACCACAAGAAGCTTGCACAGGAGACATAGAGAAAGTACTAACTGATAATTCTCTTCTATTACCATCATTACCTTTTGGGGATATGGGAAGGGCAATTCTTGTTAAAGAGGAAAAAAAGAGAAATGTACTTAACAAAAATGAGGCAGAACTGCACCCAAATAATGAGACTGAACACTTTGCAGTAGAGACAGAGCAGAGAAAAACATTATGTAGAGAACCTGTTGAAATGCAAACTAACGTATCCTCAAATTCTGCAAATGAATTAATAAGTTCAGAAGTTAGAGTGTTGGAAGATCTGTATTCAGGAGATGTTGATGTGGGTGCTGAGTACACCAATTCATTTAGTCCAACATACCCCACATACAGCAGAAGCACTGATCCCAGACAACTGTATCGTGCTGTCTTGGGTTTTGAAAAAAACCCTGCAGGTCTGCAAGATAATTGTCAGTATGTGCCTACAGGCGATCAGATAAAACAGGTGCTAGATAGAACAAATACAGATGGTAGAAAAGAGATTTTACTTTACCAGAATAATACAGGTTCAGGCTTTGACGGCCCTGACGCTAATGCAGGCAATTGTTCACCAATGGGAGATGATCTAATGAGGAATAAGACTCTGAAATCAGAAAGACTAAAGTTTTCTGCCATCAATAATGACAGTACGTCTGTCAAGTTTTTGCCAGAAACCCATGATTTGCCTCCTCAACAATCCAAATTTGTGAAATTAAGGAGCAAACAATCATATTCTACTACACGGAATACAAAGAGCTGTAAACAAAATGAACAGAGACCTTCCTTACAAAGTCACAGACTATCAGCCCCAGCTATTGCTGTCTTCTCTGATACAGAATATACTTTGGAAACTTCATCTAAGGCAGATTCCTTGTTGTATTCTGCATCTAAATCACTGCAAGATTTAAACATGAGTGTAGAGCCTCCATCACCAACTGAAGATGATCTTCATGGAATTGAAAGATTTTCAAAGCAGGAGTCAAAGAACATTCTACAGGTTAAATCTAAACCCAGATTTCAGCAAAGAATAGCACAAACTAAGAAGCTTGCAAACTGTGATCCCAAAAATGTACAGAACTTTGCAGCAAGAACCCAAAGCAGCCAGTCTTCAAAAGACTCTACTACTCGATCTCCATCATCCTTACTGCACACAGCTCACAGTTCTGTGGGTGCAGAAACAAACATCCATTCAAAGAGTAGTTCTGTAGCTCAGTGTAGTGAAGGGAAAGTTGAAGAAGCTGGATACCAGCCAGGAACAAATTTATTTTTGCAAGACAATAAAGACACAATGCATTTTAGTTCAAGTGATATCAACCCATATATTCATCCATGGCAACAAGATGGATCATGCAAGATTGGCTGGAAACAGTATATTTTTGGAAGTGCAAGTGATGTCTCTTGCAATCAAATTCCTTTAACCCTGGAAAACCGTAAAGTTATGAGATGCTCCAGCGTCGACAATGGATTGAATTCTCAAAATTCTCCTTTTCATTCTCATCTCAGTTCATACGCTACAGCAAAAGTTTTATCGAGCACTTTAAGCAGCATCGAAGGTCTTCAAGGATGGGACAATGTCAGACAAAACCTTCAATCTGCGTGCTCAAGTGACGGTACCAAGCAGTATAGCAATGTGTCCAGTGAAACCTTGGAAACTAATCCAGAAAATAACACTGCTGAACTTGAGAATCCTTCTGCACAACCTGGTAACTCTTCAGTGCAGGTTGATGAAATTGTACTATTATATCCTTCTGAGTCTGAAAGGTCTTCCAAAAAACTACCAGGGACTACATGTGAGCAGGGAACACAAACAGCAACTCCAGGAAGGTATAAAAGGCAGAGAAGACATCAGAGAAGCTATACGGATGTTTCTGCAAGAAAGCAGGAAACAGACAGAGATTTAGTTCATCAACCATCTTCTTGGACAAGCATGCAGAACCTGTCCATGCATCTGTCACAGCTGCTTCAGAACACTTCTGAGCTGTTGGGAAACCTCTCCCAACAGAGTATTATAGATAATGAGCAGAATACCAAAATGAACCAAAGAGGAACTGAAGAGGCTGTAAAGGCTACTAGATCAGATAGCTGCACTCAGACTACAGCAGATGTAGGCACTCAAACAGACATTTTGGAAGAACCTCAAAGCAAACGTGAAGAAAAACAAATAGAAGAAAAAATGGAAAATGAATTGAGGGTGGCTCGGGCAGTAAATGTTGATTGGAAAGAAATAGGTGCAGATGCAAAGATTCTCAAAAGGAAAGAGGAAACACTGTCCCTTGAAGAAAGAACAAAAGAACGAACAGGGATGAGAAGTCTGGGCAACCCTGACTTCCATGACAGTCTTGACAGCATTTTGGAGGACTCCTTTATGCATCTGCCTCTCTTACCCAGAACCTCCACTCCTATTGTAGATTGCAAAAAACCATTATTAAATGCACAGCAGAATACTAGTACCAGTACCAGAGTTTCATCTGTCACATCATCTTCACTGAGTTCAGGGCAAGATAGCTCTTCATGCACTGTAGTTAGCAGCCCTACTGACAGCACCTCTCAATCTGCAGCATCTTACACTCAGGATAAAAGAAGTGTCAACGAACTAGAGATTCCAGCAGAGAGAAAATCCTATTACAAGAACACCCTGCTAGTCGATAGGGCCTCTTCCCCTATTCTTACTCTTAGTGCTAGTCCCAGCAGCCAGACTGCTTATAGCAAATCTGTCTGCCCTATTAAGCAACCTCGTGGATATTCCAGTGATGCTTCAAGTCCTCCTCACAACCAGAGAAAGCAGAGGGCAGGTCCACAGCTCAGCATGCCCCCTCACGTGGACAACTTTTCACAGACAGAAACAGACAGTGAATCTGGTGCTTCTAGAGAACATAAGGGCATAAAGAAGAAATCGGGAAGCTTCCCAGATAAGAAAGCAGCTGAAGAGCTTTTAGGACAGCATGGTTCAGAAGACCTGGGGCAACAGCACAGAGTCACGGTTGACAGCCACACTACCATTTGTGCCAAACGACTGTATCACTCCAGCAGTATGTTGGAGGTGTCAGGCCACAGGGAACTTTTAACAGGTGATCTCAGAGACCACAGTCCACTGGCACATTCACTTCACTCTATGTATGTCATGAGGGGAGGAGGAGGCTCTTCAGCTGTAACCAGACACGAGAAGTATGTTGGTCATCCTGATGCTGCTTTAATTCATGACTACTCATCTCCAAATGCCGAGTTCCTTTTCAATAAAAGAATTAGTGCCACTTGTTCAAGTAAGACAAACACGGGCACGTCCTCAGAACCTCTGGGAGAAGCATCATCTTTACAATTTCGTGATTTCTTCTGGAAATATGAACACAGCAGCCCTGCCCCACTGTCTGATGCGAGTGATGTGCAGACTTCCTTCCAAGGTGACAATATGGATTCTGTCACTGAAAGTGAATGTGACACTGAGATTCCTCTCAACAAAACCACTCCTTTTGCAAAGCCTCACAGGCCTCGGAGCTACAGCCTCCGTGACTTACCTATACACAATAAATTCAGCAACTGGTGTGGTGTCAAGGGCAGCCCTCCTTCCTTACTCAGCTTGAGCGGCAGTGTGGCTGATTTACGAAGTCAGGCAGAAAAGAAGCCTAGAAGCACAAGAGCAGCAGAAATGGAAGGGAAATCCCAGCTTTGCGACAGCAGGAGCAGAGAGATTGAGAGACTTCAGCGAGAGCGTGCTCAGATCATGTCTGGCATTCATCTGGATCTGCATCAGCATCCCCTCACTGTGGAACTGACGGAAGCAAAGCTCAATCACGGCATCGGGGAAACGGATGCCCTGCTGAGGGTCCTTCAGAGCGGGACAGCAGAGGACCTGGTGGGGATTCCAGTGAAGCAGCAACTCTATGAAAGGTAAATTACTTCAAGTAGTGTTGTCGTAGGTATTTTGAATACACTTCGTGTATGCTTCATGCAGCATAAATAACATTTAGTAATGAGCACTTAATCACTTAGTCACACTGAGGGAACTGTATGTGAAGAGTTACAGTATCAAGCTTATTTTATATACAGTTAAGTAATGCATTTAAGACAAAATTTTGGGGTTACTTCAAGAAAATAGGGACAAGTATAAGATTTGGTGTAATTCAAATTTAGTGTCACCCTCTTAAAATTTCTAGCAGCTGTGAGAGTGATCATGTATACCAGGTGATCATGGGAATATATGTCACTGATTTATTGCAAGGTAAGAATAATTGATACATACTGTTTATGGGAATATCTCATGCACCTTGTTTCTGTGAATAGATGCTGCTGCATTATGCCAAAAAAAAAAACAAAACTCAGCCATAAATATATGATGTATTTTACAAAAAAAAAAAAATAAGATCCTAGACTCTAGTGACTGGATTACAGAACTCAGTTTAGGAAGCTGTTGTAACTAAAAAGATTTAGGACTAGCTGCGTTACTCTCCATCCTTAATTTGCCTCTCAGCCATTACAAGCAGTAGCCAAGACCCTCTTACACGTTTCCTACTGTTATAAAAGCAGTGGAGTTTTAGAATTTCTGCATCACCAGTCAGCATGTGGCCAAAGGGGTATTGGAAGGGGAGCGCATGGTATTAGATTCCTATAAATTTTACATTACAAAGCTACCTCATATTTAAGTCTTCTTTAAAAAATCAGCAAATGTAACTTTGCAGGGTGCATTTTGTCAATCTAATCATGTTTCCCTGACAGACACATGAGGACTATTGAAACTCTGAGGAAGGAAAGAGAAAAAAGGCTGCAAAGATACCAAAGAAGCCGAAGTCTGAGTCCTCAAAAGCATTTGAGTCTGTTACAGACACTGGATGCAAGTCAGAGGGATCTGGATCTTCCCAGTAGACGCCGAGAATATCTGCAACAATTGAGAAGAGATGTGGTGGAAAACACCAGGTATGGCATTAGAAACCTCTCTTTTGGCCTCATGTATGTTAACAGTGTTCATACTGGGTGCATATTAATGGTTCTTACTGACGTCTGAGGCTTCTGTGGCAGAAGAATTCTTCTCCGTGTGGAAGTGTTAAATGCTCGGATAGACAGGGAAAAAAATCTGTTTTCCTGTTGCTGCCAGCAAAACAAGCATGAACCTGATTTTAGAAAACATGCATCAAAAGTTTCCATCTAGTTTGTTTCAGTCCATATCAAGTATCTAATTTATGTGTATGATGTATGGGGACAGCCAAGTATTCATTCAGGCTTGACTCATTACAGACCAATCTGTCTTCTTACTCCTTCATTAACTTAAAAGACATATGAAATAGTTTTGTGTTAAATATCAAACAAGTTCTGCAACCCTTCACCACTTAGAATTTGAGTTTCATTCCTCACCATATCCCCTAAATGACTTTTGCTTCCTTTGCAGTAGGTCAGGAGACAGTTATTTTCCCAACGCAATTATTTTGCATGTGATGGCGCCAAAGCAATAACCTTAGATGATACGGGGAACTGACTTGGAAAGCAGTGCAGTCACTACAGTAATCTCAGTGGTAAACTGGACTTGCAACCTGAGTAATTTTCCAAGGTTAATGTTCATGTAGCCTTTAGTGAGCAAAGAGAAACTTTTGGGGGGCTAATATGGTGGGGTTTCATTGCTTTTCTGGTAAATTTTACTGTTCATAGAATCACAGAATGGTTTCGGTTGGATGGGACATTAAAGCTCATACAGTTCCAACCCCCTGCCACAGGCAGGGACAGCTTCTACTAGACCAGGTTGTCCAAAACCCTGTCCAACCTGGCCTTGAACACTGCCAGGGATATGTTGAAAGATGATTTTTCTCATGGTATTTTGTCAGGTGACCCGTTTCAAGTAATTACTTGTGTTTCCCCCCTCTTACCTGTCTTTACAGAGTTCAAGAACCAAAAAGAAGAAGCATTCAGCATCCTTCAGACATCGAACTGTTGCTCCGAGACTACCAGAGGGCACGAGAGGAAACCAAAAGTGAAATAGCACGAGCTAGGGACAAACTTCGGGAGAGAGCTGAGCAAGAAAAGAGGCGTATAAGGGAGCAAATATTTTCTCAGTTACAGAAGGTGAGTGTTACAGAGGAAACCATTGGGCATTATTCACATCAATGCATATCTTTAAAAGAAACTGTTCCATGGCTAAGTAATCATCCTGTTTGATGCACATCAGTGTAGAAAAGGCGGAAAATAAAATGCAAATTTGTGATTAAAAAAACCTGAGTCATATTGGGCTGATACTGTTTATGGTTCTGAACGGTACCTTGAATTCAGACACCTCCATGGGATGACTGAATCTTACCACATCTGCTACTTTGTTTTTCTTGGGTAATGTAAGCATGCTTCACCGGAGTTGGAAATCGAAACTTAAAACCACCTTTGAAAGTATAAATAACCTTGAAGTTCTTGGTATTATCTTATTATGTAATTCCTACTTCATCTTCTGGGTTGGCATTGAGTGGTTCAATTGGCTGACGTAAAATCTCCAATCTGTAACAACTACATTTGATCAGCAAACTAGGTCAGGGGCTACTCAAAAAAGAGGCAAAGAGGAACAAATGGGACTGAAAAGAGATCTTTTTTAAATCTTATTTTCCCCTTAAAAACACCCTGGCACTGGTTCGATAGCCTGGACTCTCACGTGTGAAGAATAACAACAGCAGAAGCTGCATTTTCCCAGACTGCCAAGTTTTACAGGGTCCCTCAACAGCTCATATGTTGGTCTTTAAGATGAGCCTGCTTATTTAATAGTTTCTGTATGGCAACAGCCTTTGTCCTGTCAGCACTCCTTGAAAGAAGCTGGACTTCTTTAGATTATTGCTCTTTCCCATTTCAGTGCCGTCATCGTTGATTTGACTAGCTGCTGTGCAAGGTGAGCTTTGCGTGGTTTTTTGTTGGTAATACTGTGATACTGATTACAGGAAGAAGCAAGGCTGAAGACTCTTGCAAGCACAAGCACTTTATGTACAGACTCCAGCCTCAGCCTCTCCTCTGGCCCAACATCTGGCTACAACAGCAGCAATACTGCTACGTACACTGCAAGTAACCTCAGCAGCCAGGAAGGACAGGTGAGGAACAGCTGGCCTGTGAGACTAATATCTCCTGATGCTTTAACAGTAATAGAGAATGTAGGAACAGAAGCAGGGCATGTTTACGTCATGAGTGCAGAGAGGGGTGATGTGGCAGGAGCATCACCAGGTAATAGTGATGCTTTTATTTTCCTGAGATATTTTTTGGCTTTTTTTTTTAACTCATAGATAAAATCCAGATAGTGTTATTGTCAGTAATGCCACTACCTGCCAAACATTTTAGAAACAAGTCTTTTGTTGCAATAAAACAGAATCTGATGTTCTCAGTGTGCCTCCCTGAATGATGCATTGACTTACGTTTCTGTGTGTGAACATGGACTTTCCTGAAGTTACTTTCTGGAGCATATACCTATGCTAGCTCCTTGCACTTGGTTTGCTCAGTTTCACAAGTCAAGGTATCTTCATTTCAGAATCAGGGGAAAGGCAAAGGAGTTAACTTCTGATAAACAGAAGCTTCCAAACGTGTAAGGCAGACATGTGACAAATACTCCACTTCTTCTACTTCTGCTCATTCCTAAATCAGGTTTCCTCTGGGAATGCTTTGCTTTCAAGAGATACACGAGGTCGTTCAGCTGTTAGAAACAGTCAGCTTTATGTGTTAGAGCAGCTACAGAAGGATTCTACATTTGGTAAGTAAAACATATGACTCCTTATGTTTGAGCTGGATCCCAAAGCCTAATGAGATTTGTCATTTATTTAAATCAAAATCTAATTTGATTCTAGATATTGTGCAGATGTCCTTACCATTACATGACTTCAGGAAAATAGTCAACCAGGAGCCAGAGCTTGCTTAGAATTTCCTGAAAAACCAAATGGGGATTTGATCCCTCTAAAGAAGTTGGTCTATGTCCTGTCATGTTACCACATCAAGTGTTCTGGGAGGATGACAGTACTTTGAGTGAACCAAAGATGCAGGGGGAAGAGGGGTTGGCTACAGCTGCAATGAGTATAGGATTGTACACAAAAGTTCTTATTTTTATCCTCCAAACTGATGTTCCTGCCTCTTCTTTAGGTTATTTTGTTAGCTTATACATGGTACTAACTGTTAAACTTGAGTAATGCACAATGTGGAATCACAGAATAGTTAAGGTTGGGAAGGACCTTAAGATCATCTAGTTCCAACCCCCGTGCATGTGAGTTAACCTCACACTTAACCATGTCACCCAAGGCTCTGTCCAACCTCGTCTTGAACACTGCCAGGGATGGAGCATTCACAACCTCCCTGGGCAACCTATTCCAGGGCCTCGCCACCCTAACAGGAAAGAAAATTTCCTCCTTATATCCAATCTAAACTTCCCCTGTTTGAGTTCTAACCCGTTACCCCTTGTCCTGTCACTACAGTCCCTAATGAAGAGTCCCTCCCAGCATCCCTATAGGCCCCCTTCAGATACTGGAAGTTGCTATGAGGTCTCCACGCAGCCTTCTCTTCTCCAGGCTCAACAGCCCCAACTTTCCCAGCCTATCTTCATACAGGAGGTGCTCCAGTCCCCTGATCATCCTCGTGGCCTCCTCTGGACTTGTTCCAACAGTTCCATGTCCTTTTTATGTTGAGGACACCAGAACTGCACACAATACTCCAGGTGAGGTCTCACAAGAGCAGAGTAGAGGGGCAGGATCACCTCCTTCAACCTGCTGGTCACGCTCCTTTTGATGCAGCCCAGGATACGGTTGGCTTTCTGGGATGCGAGCACACACTGAAGCTGGCTCATGTTCATTTTCTCATCAACCAACACCCCCAAGTCCCCCTCTGCAGGGCTGCTCTGAATCTTTTCTTTGCCCAACCTGTAGCTGTGCCTGGGATTGCTCCGACCCAGGTGTAGGACCTTGCACTTGTCATGGTTAAACTTCATGAGGTTGGCATCAGCCCACCTCACAAGCATGTCAAGGTCCCTCTGGATGGCATTCCTTCCCTGCAGTGTATCAACTGGACCATACAGCTTGGTGTCATCGGCAAACTTGCTGAGGGCGCACACAGTGTAATTACTAATATGCACATTGACTACACAAGGGATAGCATGAATCCTTCAGGAGGACCAGGTGCCTGGGTGCTCCAGTGGTGGGTTGAAGTCCCTGCAACTGCAGATAGCAACGAGTTTTCTTTTCAGTATTTTTTACTCCCCTATGGCTTTTTTGTTTCCCACAGAAGCCAGCAGCATTCAGCCACCCCTTCCTTCTAGCAGCATCAGCTGTAGGTTCACCCATGGATTAACTATTTCCGTCAGCTCCTCTTCCACAAAAGGATACCAAGATTTATCCAAACACATCTTGGCCAATGCTACCACTGAGGTAAGTGAATAAGCAGAGTTTTCACTTACCCCTGTATCTCCTGCTATGAGTTGTAGTGAGTATGTGTGGGAGAAGCCTTGCTGCTCTACACTGCTAATAGTTATATATTTGTCAGCTAGAGACAGACACACCAAGCAATTTTAAATGGTGGGGAAAGTGAGCCGGGCTGCAACAGAGGAGACTCTTGCATGTTAGCTGAAATGGTTGAGTGAAGCTGGGGGAACTGCTGAGTCAGAAGGAAAGCATACCAACTTCCTATTTCACATCAGGTACAAACACTCCAACATGCTCCCCCCACCTCCCATTTTCTCACAATAGTTTAGGCTAGCGTACAAGTGTGTATGTTTATATACATATATATATATATATTATACAGGATGTATATATCCTCCTTCAGCAGAGAATATGACAGCCAAGACCATCTGGCTGTTGATACTTCCTAGGAATTACTAGCACTGTAAAACTGTGTGTGGTAAAGGCAGCTTAGTAGTTTGAATAGAAGACAGCGTAGCAGCATGTAAACGCTGGATGCAGTTTATAGTTTCTACGGCTTTCTCTTACCTGCACATCTGTTACTGTTTTCTAAGGTAATGGCAGCATGCTCTCATAACCTGAGGAATCTCTACACCTGCCAAGCAGCAGCTGGGTGGAAGTAAGTTTATGGCAGGTCTTTATAATGGGAGGCCTTCTTTTGTACTTGGCCCTGTTATGTGCAAATACCTTTCATTTGTCTTTGACAGGTATCAATGTACAGAAAAAGAGGTGCTGGTTTATTACAAAGTCTTCCCTTCAGCAACAAGGCATGGGTTCCTGGGAGCAGGAGTGATAGAAAGACCCCTGCCCTACGTGTGGGGACTAGTGAGAGATCCTGGCAAACGACATCTGTATGACAGAACTATCAACACAGCTCGAATACACAAAAAAGTAACCAGCCACATCCAGCTGGGTGAGTATCAACACAAAAGACTGGCCACCTTTACCAGTAGGTACTTTCTCAGCTCAAGTTGCCAGCCAGAAGGAGACTTAAAGGCATCATTTCATTTCCTCACGTCTGAATAAATAATTTCATTATTTAATATGGGAACTTGAGCTTTGCAAGGCTTTTCCAAAGTGAGGATAATATTAAACACATCTCACTGTGCAAGTACAGGTAGAGACAGTGGTTTGAAAGTCAAAATAAATCTTAAGTGGCTTGAGAAAGCATCGGAATGACATATTATAGCACGTCAACTAGAGCTCTGCTCTCCGCACAAAGAAGTCAAAGTGAAATATGCACATGCATTTCAAGGGATGGGGGAAAATGTGCCAAGTTAAAGTTGTCAAAGTCTAATTCCCCTCTTTGTTTTTTCACAGTGTATTTAGTGACCGATAGTTCCCTCTGCTATCTAAAGCAACCCCGGGATTTCTGCTGCATTACTGTAGAAGCCAAAGAGGTAAAGTGAACATTCTCTCTGCAGCACAGAGGAGTTGTTCTGAACTCCCGGTTCAAGGACAGAAGGGAGAGGGAATGGAAGTCCATGCTCATCCTTCCAGAAGTGACAGTGTAATAGAAAGAAAAGCCTTGTGGATGACACAAAGGAATTGTGTATAAAACCCTCATGAATGACAGTCATCAGCTAAGCCCTATCTGGGGCTTGTGTTACAGAAGTGTTACACAGCACAGTCAGGTTACAAACACGCAAGATTATGACCAAAAAAATTAATAAATAACATGGGAAATACTGTTTCATATTAGAAGAGGTTTTTAGGTAGTATGAGACATGCATCTCATGGCAAACAAAGAAATCATCACTGTATGCATAGAAAAATACACAAATTGTCATCTTTGCCCTTTGTCACACACAGGAGAACTTGTCTGTCTTGGCTGTTCAGTCTGTCTACGATGCATCCATGCCCCACCCTTGCAAAGAAGTGGTGAGAGGGGAGATTCTGCCAAGTGCTTGGATACTGGAGCCTGATGTGGTGAATGGAAGAGATATCACTAGAGTTATTTACATGGCACAGGTAAGATTTTCCTTTATTTCAAAGTGCTCATCAGAGAGCTACATGTCATTAGTCCTTTAAACTTAGCTATAGAATACATGCTTTTAAGATGCAATATAAAAAAATCTTTATAGTAATTAGTATATGCATTTTACACTGCATGTGTAATGTATATGCATTTTGCAGTATATGCATATATATATTTTATAAATATACGTATTTTTAGTATGTGCATATACATTTTCAGCAACACTGTATCTGTCTCAAACTAGTAATATTTAATTGAAGCTTAAACTCAAAAGCAGTGTGGGTCATACCTGCTGAAAGTGACATCAAAAAGCAAAGCTTTGAAAGCCTATGGAGTATCGGGAAGGAACAGATAAAAACCACACAGGAATGATACCATTTGCCTGTAAACTACTTTTGTAGTTTACAGACATATAACTTGCACCATCACATACCTACATGTACCATCAGAGCTATTCGAGGCTAGAGAGGCATTTTGCCCAAACTCAGGTACAAACTCCCACATGTGGCCTTTCTTCTCATTCCTGCAGGTGGATCTTGGTGCTCCAGCTATCCCTGCAAGGCTTCTGAGTTCCATCGCCAAGTGCCAGCCCCTGGTGATCGCGCACCTGGCACACTTCCTTGCTAGCTAATGTTGGGTACAAAACTGGACAAGTAACAGCAGCTCAAAGTTCACAAGACGACATAAGCCTTGTAAGGGTAATGTAAAATGCTGGCTCACAGTCAGTCACAGTCAAGCCTCACTGCTAACACTAGACTGTGCAAAAGGATAGTTAGGAAAAAGGATCATTTATTTTAGCTGCTTGGAAGAAATGCAGCAGGTTTGATGGGAACCTGTCCTCCTGGAGACAGCTGCAGAAAACCTCCACGGAGCAGCAAGAAGGTGTGCTGTCTCTACATAAAACAGAGGAAGAGACTTTGATTTACAATAGCCAGCATCTTACATGCAGAATGTAGTATTTAATTTCTGTTTCCAAGGTGCTTCAAAGACCAACCTTCTTTAAGAAAGTTTAGGCACCAGTGGGAAAAAGGCAATGGAAGCAATGACATGCACTACAAACTGGAAACAGTCCACATATGGCTTGAGGCCCTTTGCAACTCCTGAGTAGAGCTGCAAGGCTGCTTTCTAATGTTCAGATAAGCATCAAATACAGGATTCCTAACAGTGTAGATAAATCATTTAACCTAGCTTGCTGGCTAGACTTCCCCTGGAGAAGGGAAGTTCAAACAGAGCGATATCCACTAGCACCCTACACCCTGAACAGATTTTTCTCCTATAATTGGCTGATGGCTTACAGCCAGTGTGAGGTATTTTGGATTGCCACTACACTATGCAGCATCAGTGGAAACCACCACACCTCAGGACACAGTTTTACTGCACTGCAGAATTAGGTGCTTTGAAATCAAGAAACCAAACTGACAGCTGTAAACAGTGACACTTTGTCATTAGTAGAGAGCAGTACCACGTAATCAGCTTGTTTCTAGAATTTATATCCTGCAAGTAAGAGTAGCTCCAGCAGCTTTCCACAATGTCGCTTTCCATCAGCTGAAAATCCAGCCTGGCCATAGTCCTACCATGCTTCTTTGTTCAGAGCATGACCAGTTCGCTCACTGCAGTGAAGACAGACTCTTCCAACTCAATTACCTCATGGTATTTCTGTTGACCTTAGTCCAATAATCCTGCCATCAGACTTTATATATATTTGTTCAACACACTGCCTAGTTTGGTCACACATGCCTAAAATTAAACAAAACTACAACCAACTCAAGCAACTCCATTAGTTCTTCAGCACAACAGTAAAAACCATTTCAGATACCTTATGTAAGCAATAGAAGTCGTTATGATGTGCTTTCTTTAGCTCAAAAATGTCCACATTGTTCAAGAAGCTGTTGCACTTTAAATTTGTCAAGTGAGAAGTATGTATTCATGCGTCCACCTGACCAGAATCACCTTCTGCTACTTCAACGCAGTTACTGTAAGTAAAAGATGAGTTTTCCCACCTTTAAGAGCCAAGAGCTACTTTACTATATCTTTGCACAGGTGTAATTTTGGCTCTCAGCTTCTATGTTACTTCCTGTTTTAAATATATGCAGTTTTAAAAGAAAATAGCTATTTTAAATTGATATGTAAGAAAATAGCAGTTTTGAAACATACCAGCCCAAGGCTTTCCCCCCAAAAACTGTACCAGGTAGGACAGCAAAACCTTTCACTTACAAATTTGCTTTGGTTACAATCTTAACACCAATATAGTGCTGTTCTTTTATGGTGAGGCTCAGCATTTTCTTAGAAGCCCTTCAAACCATGTCATGGCATGGTTTACTTCCAGCCTCATGCATTCTCCATAGCCCCTTAAGGACAAAGGGACAACCCAGCACAGCTTTCTGCAGTTGAGCAAAAAGACAGTTCCAGATTTGCAACCTGTCATACAGTTCCCCATTCCCTCCCTCTTGGTGGAAACCAAGAAAAGGAAGAGCCAATGAGGCAGTACATAAAAGCCCTATTTAAAATGAGCAGAAAGAGCAGCATGGGATATTGGCTCTATCCTGAATGCTGCTTCCAAGGATGGCTGGTGGAGGTAGGGGAGGTCTTCATCCAATCCACACAAGATTTGCTCAGTGCTTCACTTTTTTTCCCTTTTATTTTGGACATGGCACTAGTGATGAAGCAGGTTTTGTAGGAAAAACATCTAGGGGGACTCCCGTTGATCAACGATGCCAGTGCCTATGAAGGATAACGTCTTCTTGTACAGTGCATCAGATGTTTATTTTTATATACACATAAGATTTTTTTTCTATGTTTACAGATTAAGTTATTTCTATATGCTTGTTTTGAAGCAGTTTTATATGCTGTCAAAGCTAAGTTTTATTTTTATCAGTATTGAATTAATGTAACTTTTTTTTTAATACGATCTTCAATTGATACTAAAAAGCCTATTTATATAAATGTTTTCTTTTGCAAATATAACATTTTATGGTACTTGTTAAAGTATGGCATTGGTTTGGTTGGAAGGAAGAAATAAACACCCAGCAGATACCGAATTTGTTAATCTACAATGGGCAAAACCCAACTTCCTGTCAGTTACTGCTGAGCAGTAGATGATCAAACCAATTGTATTGTACCACCTACTGTTGCATCTCTGCTCTTAATCAAGATTGCTATTTTCATATCCACAATAAATGGTATTTTCTACACAAGAAAACATGCCCTGTGTTATTCCCCTCCAGCTAAAGACACCCATCTATGCAATTATGTCACATGGAGAAGTACCACAAAAGCTAGCTTGGGGGAGATGATGTAGCAGTCCTGCCTACCTGCTGAGGAATGCGTGGGGAACAGGAATTTGTAGCACAATAGTCAAGAAGATAGCCATTGCCTGAATTTGGTTCCTATAATGCAATGCCTTGTCCAAGCAAAGAGGTTTTGTTGTGTTGTTCTGAAGTGAGGCACTGGCTGAAGTGTCTTCCCAAGTCCAGTTACACAATTCCTCTGACTGCATATCCAGAAGGAAGTCAGCAGAACACCATTTTGCTCCATTTTCTTTTGGAAGTTGTAGGAAAGATTGACAGAAGGCCACGTGCTTTAACCTAGCTTGCTTTGAGCTCTCTTCTCCCTACTGCTCTCCTTGCAGCACTACAACAGGTACAATGCATGGAGCACTGAGAGATGCCTCACAGCCCTGTGGGACTGCAGTCATGCAACCTCAGCATCCCTAGGCAGAAAACAGCATCCATACAATAGTTCCTGCAGTTTAGCTACAACACTGGGTGTCTGGCTTTACAGATCAGACCAAATTACCACAGGATGTCCAGGAACTAGAGTAACTAATTGCATTAAGACATAAGACCATTGACACAGAGCTGTTTCTTACCTGCTGGTTCCCACAGAAGGACTGACTGCCTTTGGCCCGATAGGTTGGGCTCTCTGGATGTAGCAAACTGCTCCTGGGCCTTGGTCACCTTTTAAATGAAAATTTCCAGGCACACTGTATTAGAGAAGGACAATTCAAGTACGTTGAGTTCATGAGACCAGCTGTGGCCATGGCAGCTAAGCAAACAGTTTTACAACACCCAAGTAAAATCAGTTCCAGAGCCAAGAGCACCTTTTCTGCTATTATGAATTGCAGCTTCTTCCCCTTCCACCACTCCTTATATAAAGTTATATTTCAATATAAGCAAAGCAGCTATTATTCTACTTTCTTTGCCCCACGCTTTCTGGCAAGGCACTTTTTTTGTACTTCACCCCAGTACCAAGAGGTTACAGATCGACAGCTTGAACACAAACAAGGAGATTTAATCATTTATTTTGACAAACAACAACTTCAAATGAGATCTGCAGCAAAAATCACACATGACTCAGCCTCAGCGAGCAGGTACGGTACGACAGGGTGTACTTGCTAGTCCAGTTTGTATTGCCATAAACAGCCTGCCTACTTCTAGGGATCCTCTGCTTCAGTCATGAGAAAACTCTTGCAGGGAGGCATGCAGATGGGATATGCCCAATCTGTCAATACAGTGCTCTAACCAAGTCTAGAAAAATCTCGGTACACGTCGGACACTGATGTGCCTCTGCTGCCTCTCTCTCTGAAGCCACAGTTACACCTCCTCAGTCCTGTTTATCTGTGTTTTTTCTTAAATCGCTGACTCTCAAGATGTTACCCTGTCTTGCCTTATCCAAGGGAAGAGGCAAGTTAATTAGCACATGGTAAAGCCACCGGGCTTCACTTTGTCCAGATGTTGCTCTCTCATCACACAGTATTTGCTTTCTGGGAAAAGCTGCACTAACAGAACACTCTCAGACAAAAGGAAATCGTTTCCTTGCTGCTACAGGGGCAGGAAAAATAACCCTATGAGACAGCTCATGAGCACTTGATCATGTCCTGCCAGCACCCAGCAGCCCCTGCCCCAGGCTCCAGTGTGAGGAAATACTCGCGGGGTGGACAGGCGATCACACCCTTGGTGGGGACCTATCTGCACAAGCAGAAATGCCAGCTGTCTCACAGAAACGATTCCTTTCCAGGCCAGCTCCCCAGTGGATGGCACAGTGCTCTTCCACTACTGTTCTGTCTGCTCTTCCAGGCTGTAGTTTTCTTGCTGCAGCATTTCCTGTCTGATAAAACCCAAACTCAAGGCAAAAAGGATTATAAAAAGCAGCAGTCAGATGCCGTTTAAGTTCACATACTATAAAAGTGTCTTAAAAATACTGTGTTCAGTAAAAAATATAAACTGATATTTTCTCCCTTATTTCTATTAAAAACCTTGGGAAGTTACAAGTTTTGTTTCCAACAAGAGATGGAAAAACACTTAAGCATCCACATGCTTTCAGAATAATGCCATCAGTGTTCTGATGTATATATTTAATACGGTTCAACTTTTAAAATGAGTTTTCATTAAAATCAAAGCTTTGAAATTGGGCTCACAATGAAAAATAAATACAGGCTCATCTTCATGTCATACAGGTTCATCCTTTCCCTCCCCTGACAGTAGAGTCTTTGTTAAAAGACAACAAACATGAGAAGTCACATTAAATTATGAGAAGAGCCACCAGGAAACCACGTCTCTGATCATGAAGTTACTTGTCCACTTGTATCTATTTCTGGGTTTGGTCACAGCCTGTTGCTGCACAGATACAAAATGTGTCACTGAGTCTAAAAACTGGCTGCTCTGAGCAATGATAAAGGTGCTTAAAGGACTTCTGACTTGGAGATCCATTTGCTGATTGACAGACATCCTTCAGCATAGTCACCATGGCAAAATGTCCACGAACAGAAAGGGAAGACCAGTGTGGGTTTTGCACAGAGTGACCTCCTAGTGGCAGCAGCTCACAGCAAAGAGCTCACAAGGCATTCAGAAACGCTGCACAGTCCCTTCGCATCTTCATTAGGCTGTTTTGTCTACAAAGAGTGGCCTTCATTAACTTTGTGCTGTCACGGTACCTAGAGGTTGTCTGGTCAGCTCACCCTGGTTAGTCCTGAGTTCTGCTATCTGATGTTCCGATATAAATACTCTGGACAGCATTTCCAGTTCTTTTAAGAAATCCTGTAACAAACAGATACAAACCAGAGAACCCTTATTAACAAGTGACAACCAAGAGGCTTACTTCATTTCTCTTGTTAAGAACTTTACATGGTTAGAACATGTTGATGGTTTTCCAGTGCAGAAACATAGACAAGCTACACAACTGATTGCAAAGATGAATGCCTGTAGGTGTACACGTTCAGTCTCCCTCTAGCCCCCACACCCTCCTCAGGAAAGGTCACTGCCACAGTTTGAATGGTTAAGCATCTCCATTATGCAGGTGCTCACCAGCCTTCAAATACCACCCATTTTTAGCAGGGAGTTGGGCAGTCTTCCACATTTTGACTCTGGCTAGAACAGTCCGAGTGCTTTCACGTTCTTGTGGTAGGAGGCAAAGAGGTCTAGATGCAAGTCTGCTCAGTTAAGAATCTTTCCAACATCACCATTCTCAGCTGGAAAATGTCAGACCCATTCAAGCTAGAATGGAGAGCTGGTAACCAAACTGCGATACAACTTTCTTAGCACTGTTTGCATTGCAGGTGCAATGGTGGGATTCACACAACCACAGCTTTCAGCCAAGCACTAGTAACAGAAACAAGGCTGTTGGAAGCTAGTCCTGCTGCTGCATTAAGCAGAAACTATAGACAGGGAAGGTTATGGGCTTCATCTACACAAAACAGAACTACAAGGGTTGACTGTCGATGTAGCTTTACTTTTTATTTCACTTATTGTTCACACACATCTCATTACTTACTGAGGGCCAAGGGAGCTCTTCGAGGCTACGCAAGCAACTTTCTATTTCACTGCTTCTCATTAGTTCATGTTCTACAAGACCACGAAGCATGAAAAGGAACAAATCCCACTGCAGAAGAGAAAAAATATCAACAACTCAAAAAGAAATAGATTTTGTGTTCATTTCTTTATCCCTATACAATTCATGTTTTCCTGTGTGGATCAGGATGTGGAGAAAAGGAACAAAAAGATAAAGCACATTATTTATGTGGGTACGGCAGTGAAGGACACCAAAAAGCAACATCCAAAATGAGTGCAAAATCCCACAAGTTCATACATTTCTTCGTACCATGAAGTCTCCAAATTTCTAATTCTTGGTTTCCAAACACAACAAGTAATTACTTGTTGTGTGTTCAGGAACAGCTTGAAATGTTCTTTACTTCCCTTCTGAAATAAGCTGGTTTTACCCTGCAATGAGCCAGGGCAATTTTCAGATTCATAGTTGGGGATCTCGTAAGATAACACTCTATCAGCCCCCAACGTCCCCAGCCAAATGGGCCGTATTGCCATTTGTTCATTAAACTGCTCCTTCCTGACAACCCCCCAGACAGGTATCAAACACTAACAAGTTGTGTGCAGCCCTCTCTTCCTCTGCCCCTGCAAAACCAACATCAGATAGCAGCTGACCAAATCCTGCTGGCCTCATTCACACACGGCATCAGTTAACAATGAGGGCAGGCTCATGCAGAACTCCTGCATGAACATATGAGACCAGACTGCATAACTGGCACCTCCACAGACTGGAATAAGCTTTACCTCTCGTTGTTTAACTTCTGCAAGGTAACCAATGTTCTTCTTGCTGAACATCAGCTGCACAGGAACAGGTGTCCCAAAGTCCTCCTTCCAGACAGAAAGCAGGAGTTTTAGAAGGCCATAGGTGGGATTATTCTTCACACACAGCCTCTCAGAGGTCTTCTCTGGGGATTTGATCCTGAGACGCAGAGGGACACGATCTGAAACTAGAGACAGAAGAAAAGTGAACTTCTATAGCTGCATGTTTTCCTTTTATAGTCATCATCTTGGTCCAACAGCACATTTTGCAGAGCTGGCATCACTGAAGTAGTAACTGTTAGTGAGTGTAAACGAGGAAACATGAGAGGAATGGAGTTTAGAAACACAGAAAATTATGGGCTTTGAAACTATACAAACAAGTGCTACATAGGAAGAGATTCATATTACTCAGATAAAGAATACCATTTGGTTGACATATAGCCCAAGTCTTGAAGGTGACTGACTAAATAAAAGTCAGACATTTAATAAAAAAAGGACCCAGGTGTTACTCCAAAGGAGAGTAACACAATAAGACAACATTTAAATCCATAAACAAATTAAATAGTTGTTGACTATACGTAAAGTTGTATACAAAGGAAACTGAAGCTGAACATTGTTTAAC